GCTATCTATCTTGACAAACATCTTTCCAAGCTTGTGTGCTTGCAGTGTTTTCCGCCCTTAGGGTGGCTTGTAATCGAACAATTACCTTTCTACACTTTATTTTTGCATGCGTATATATCGTTATTGTCTCTCAATCCAACCTGTTTGTCCTGGGACTAACTACTTGTCCTGGCTTGGCCTTCTTTTGAGCTTAACTGGAAATACTGATCCCTGAGTTCTGAGGCAGGACTCCACCTTGTTTGATTGTCCGGGAGTCCATCCTTTATCGGAGCCTTGTTCTGACCTCAAGGTCTGACTGTGGTTGCCAAATAAATAAGTCTGTTTTCTTTCACCTTGTCCTCGTAGTTTTAGCCCCGATTTCCCGGTCAGGGTCGCTTTCCTCGGGTTCTTAATTTCTGAACCGCGTCGGAGAGCTTTACCAATTTTAACCCTAAGTTCTTATTTTCTGAACCGAAGTAGGGTGGGTTCTTTACCTTAGGTCAATTAAGCCTTGTAATGAACCTCTTTAATTGGCGAGGCCTGGTGGCCTCTCCGGTGCAAAGTTAATTCCCTTAGTTCATCCTTAGCCTTTGTAAATCAGTCTTGGCCTTGAGAAAGGCCGTCTTTTCGTGTTTTGAGGAAATTTGATTTTGTTTATATGGCTGTCTAATCTTGAAAAAGATCTTTCATTCCTACTCTCGTATTTTGATAAGACAAAGTTGAACTGCAGAATTTGGATGAGTTTGGAATTTGTACTTTGACTTTTGCAAGTACCAAAATTAGGCGTAGTAGCCTTAGTTTTTTTTTGGCGGTTAAACAACCTTCGCAATTTTACAAGGACTTTGTGAAAGAAAATCAACTTTTATTGAATAACTCTTTGAATCAGGATTACAAACCTATTGGTAGAATGTCATCAAGTGTTCGGAATTCCACGCTCTTTCCATCAGCTTTCCTTTAAGAGTGCTTAGCTTGTAAGTCCCAGACCCTACGACTTCTTTGATCTTGTAGGGCCCTTTCCAATTTTTGGCAAACTTTCCGCCCTCCAAAGGTTTGCTAGCAGACCTCCTTCTTAGAACTAGGTCCCCGACCTGAAATAGCCTTGGTCTAACTCTTGCGTCGTGGTATTCTTTAACTTGTCTTCTGTAGTTTTCAGCTTTAATGAACGCGTTGTCCCTTCTCTCCTCAATCAGGTATAGTTCTGCCCTGAGCATGTCCTCGTTATTTTCAGGACAGGGCCGGCCATGGGGGCACTTTGCCTAGACAAGTGTCTAGGGCCCCCAATTTTTAAGGGCCTCCAATTTTTAGAATTAGGCTATTACTAATATACTTCGTACGTCGTATATGTGTATGTAGTTTAGATAGCAGATTTTCCACTAATTAATCATTCCACAAATGGCAATTCATTAATTAGTGGATTACTTTTGTTAGCCTGTACATCTTTACTTGTTTAGTTCTTTTATTAAATGGTTAGTGACTAGGGAGGAGGGTCTAGCCGTCTAGGTATACAAGTATGCAATGTAATTAGAGTAATTAGTGCAATACAACTTATACAACTATAAAGTATCGATCTGATTTATGATTTACTCAAACAACTTATTTTCTAATTTAGGCATGTAAAATTATAAATTTATTATAATAATACTTTGTGAATGTATTAAAATAACTACATTATACCTTTCAACAAATAATACTTTATACTTACTCAAACAACTCAATTACTCGTGCAAAATTTTTATGTAGTTGAATTATGATATACGGAGTATGTGAGTTTGATAAAAATACCGAATATTTATAATCTTAATATCTTATTTCATCCGTCCCACTAAGATTGTCTAATCTTTCTTTTCCGGTCCGTCCTACTAATATTTTTCATATCAAATTTGATAAAATTTGTGTGATTTTAAGTCTTTTTTATTCTTAATTTATCAGTTTAATATCAATCATATCAAAGCACTTTTTTAATAACCATACGTCCTTCTCTCTTCTCAATATTAGTAGGACGGGGTAGTATTATTTTGAACGAAACTGTAGGTTTTTTGTGACGGGAAAACGAAAACATGACTTGGAGTACATGTGTACAAAGAGAAGAACAAAGTAACAAATGACTGATTATAAAATCGTTTGTTAGCTCTATGGATCTATAGGTATTAAGAAACAAAAAGTCTATATGATTGTCTAGGGCCTCACAATTGCTCTAGACGGCCCTGTTTCAGGATCATAATTTTCAACCCTTCTGCTTGGGACTAAAGCCTCCAGTGGTGCTCGGGCTTCAAACCCATAAGTTAGGGCAAAGGGAGTCTCACCAGTAGTCCTTGGGGTAGTTCGATATGCCCAAAGTATATTGTTGAGTTCATCCACCCAAGTTGTTCCCATTGACTTCAGCTTCCTTTTGAGGCCACTAACAATAGTCCTGTTAGCGTTTTCCACTTGTCCATTGCATTGTGGGTAAGCAACAGATGCTCGATTGGACTCAACTCCCCACTGTGCGTAGAAATCTTTGAATGGTTCGGAGTCAAATTGCTTCCCGTTATCTGTGATAACTTGCATGGGAACACCAAATCGGCAAAATATATTTTCCAGACAAATCTCTTGCATTGCTCCGCAGTGATTGTGGCCATTGGTTTGGCCTCAATCCATTTTGTGAAATAGTCAATTGCAATTATCACAAATTTCCTACCTCTTTAGCCCGGGGGGATGGACCCAACGAGGTCTATTCCCCACCTTGAGAAGGGGATCGCTGTGCTAATAGGATGATATAGGGTGGCAGACCTGCCTGGAGTTGTTTGAAATTTCTGGCAGACCTCACTTCTTCGCGTAAAGTCCACGCAATCCCTTATCATTGTAGGCCAAAAATATCCTTGCAACAGGGCTTTCCTACTTAAAGTGAACGCACCTTGGTGGGATGAACAAGTTCCTTCATGTAGTTCCTTGATCACTTGCTGAGCTTGTTCTGGCCTTAGACATTTGAGCAGCACGCCATTGTGACTTCTTTTGTATAGCTTGCCATTTTCAATGACGTAATTTGGAGCCCATCTTCTAATCAACTTTGCCTTCCCCTCATTGGAAGGCACTGTTCCGTCCTCTTTGTATTCTATCAATTCTTTGACCCAAGATCTTGGATTTTGCTCGGCCGAGAAAACCTCAAGGTCTTTGGTGTCCTCGATGCTAGGTTTGTCTAGCTCCTGTACTCGGGTTATGCGCATGAGGTGTTCATGTGCGCCCTCAGTCAGCTTTGATAGAATATCTGCTTCGCTATTTTGGGCTCGAGGAACACATATTAGATCTGACTCCTCAAAATACTTGATGAGTTCTAGGGCTGTATCCCTGTATTTCTGCATTCGTTCCTCTTTGGTCTCGTACTCCCCTCTAAGTTGTTTGATAACCAACTTAGAGTCACTTTTGACCCTCAACTTTTGTACCTTGAAGTGAATTGCTATCCGGAGGCCTGACAGTAGAGCCTCATACTCAGCTTCATTGTTAGAGAGGTTAAATTTGTATCTAAGGGCATGGTACGTCTTGAAGCCTTCAGGGGTGATGAGGACCACCCCTCCTCCGCAACCTTTGGACCCTGATGATGATCCATCGGTCATGAGGGTCCACCAATCTTCTTCCTCGTGCCTTTTTTCTTCAGCCAGGTCTCGGGCAGTACATTCGACTAGGAAGTCCGCCAGGGCATGGCCTTTAATTGATGATCTAGGTTGGCAACTTACTTGGTACTGGCTGATTAGCAGGGACCATTTTATAACCCTGACTGTTTTAGCCGTTCTGAACAAAGTGCCTACTCCCAGGTCTGACAGTACTTTGATTGGATGAGCCTGGAAGTAATGTGCCAACTTCTTGGCCGCCGTGTATACTGCTAGTGCGGTTTTCTCCAGGGCTGGATATTTGAGCTCAGCCCCATGAAGGATTTTGCTGATGCAGTAGACCGGTTTTTGCATCGTTCCTTCTTCACTCACCAAAACAGAGCTTATGGCACTTTGTGTTACCCCTAGGTAGAGTGTAAGGGTTTCGCTGACCTCTGGCTTGCTGAGCAGCAGGTCCGATTATAGGTATGCCTTTAGGTCCTCAAATGCAGTTTGGCATTCCGGGGTCCACTGGAATCCATTACTTTTCTTCAGGATTTGGAAGAAAGGCAAGGATCGTTCCGCCGACCTGGATAAGAATCTCCCCAGGGCTGCCAGCCTCCCGGTCAAGACCTGAACCTCTTTGACACTTCTAGGGGGTTCCATGTCTAAGATGGCCTTTATCTTTTCTGGGTTAGGCTCGATTCCCCTGTTTGTCACCATAAAACCCAAAAAATTTCCTCCTTGGACAGCAAAGGTGCACTTCTTAGGGTTAAGCCTTAGATTTACCTCCTTCATGATACTAAAGAACTCCCTGAGATCTTCTGCATGGTCAGTTGCTTTTTGGCTCTTCACAATCATGTCATCAATGTATGCCTCCATATTTCTTCCCAAAACTGTTCGAAATACTTTGGATACCATCCTGGTGTAAGTAGCTCCCGAGTTCCTTAATCCGAAGGCCATGACCAAGTAGCAGAAAACTCCCTCAGGTGTGACGAACGAGGTCTTTTCAGCATCATCTGGGTGCATCGAGATCTGATGGTACCCCCTGAATGCATCCATGAATGAAAGGAGTTCGCATCCAGCGGTCTGATCCACCAGCTGATCTATGCTCGGCAAGGGAAAAGGATCCATTGGGCAAGCTTTGTTCAAGTCCGTGTAATCAACGCACATTCTCCAGGTGGGTGGCTTAGGTGCCAAGACTACATTGGCAAGCCACTTTGGATACTGGACTTCCCTGATGTGCTTGATGCCCAACAGCATTGCCACTTCCCCCTTTACGAATTCTTTTCTATCCAAAGACAAGTACCTGCGTTTTTGCTTGACAGGAACAGCCTTTGGATCTACGTTCAGATGATGAACTGCTATGCTGGGGTCGAGTCCTGGCATGTCCTCAGGCCCCCATGCAAAGATTCCCTTGAATTCCGCCAAGACTTGGATTATTCTTGCTCTCGGGTCTGTGACACTCCGAAAATTTTATAAAAAAAAAATATAAATAGTTCTATTGATCAAATAAAATGTTTCAAAGTGACATGCACATAATTAAGTGAATTAGATAAAATTTTAAGAAAAGTGAATTCTTAGGATAATGTAACAAAGTAATGATTTTCTTTTCATAAATAATGTGGAATAGGAGGAAGATTATTAGGATTGATAGTTTAAAAGATGTTGATTAATACAATTAATTAATACTATTTGTACAATCATATATGACTATAAATAATGCACATGTTGACTTTTCAACCTAATTTACCCTATACGCACGTACATATGTAACGTATATACTCATAAACTTGTACAAGGAAACTCATTAAACATCGATATTGCCTACCATATTTACTCGCACATGCGTATACTCGTATATATAGCGTCCAGATACATTCCATCCGGAGATTTTCGTTCAAGGCCGGAAACCCGGAAACTAACTTAAACGTGCGAAGCTTGGGGATAAAAATCAGCCTGCGCGTAAAAATTGGATCGCATAAACTCAAACACTTAACCAACCGGATGATATACACAGCCTAGGGTATCCCCTTATCGGTATAAATATGTTCTCATTGGCCTGCAGTTTCTCCATTCAACACTTCGGCCGACACATATAGATCTACAAGGGTTTTCCTATCTTTCTTTATAACAACACAAAAAGAACTATAAACGCTTCCAAACCCTTCTGCCGGATGAGAGAAAGCGAACGAAGCAAGAAGCCCTGAAAACGATCGTGAAACGAGGGATAAATCGTTTGCCGGAGTCTTGCCGGACTGATCTTCACGTCGGAAACCCGAGGAAGCAAAGCTGACGTATCACATCCTTCCAGTCCATTGCCGATCTTCACCATCTTCAAACACGCCGCCTTGCCACTCGTCCGTTGCTGCAGTAGTAAGTTAACCTCCACTCTGCATCTTTTTGTTGTTTCCGGCGTTCCGTGAAGAAGTCGACGCAGGGGTAGGCCTTTGCGATCGATCCTTCTCAAAAGAAAAAGGGGGCCGGATCTGATTTAATAAAGGTTGGGCCGTATTTGATCAAAGTTGCAGTTGGATTAAAAATAATGATTTGAAAATGAATAATAATAATAATAATAACAACAATAATAATTGTTAACTGGATTGACCAAGTGGACTCGGAAATTAATTAATAATTTATTAACATAATGATAAAACAGATTGGACCACTTAATCCATTAAGAAGTAAAATTATTGATATTAGAATTTTAATATTCTTAGAAGGTGATTTTTGGTGAAAGATGGAGGTAGAAGAATTTTGCTAGGAGTACTTGAAGTTTGAGGTAAGTTTCATTGCAACCAAAATTATACCTTTTACCTCGTAATTATTTTGAATGTTTTAATGTACAATTTGAGTAATGTATTTATGTGTATTAAATTTGAGTAAATGTTATTCTATATGAAGTTGTTTGTACTTGATATATTGGTTTGTTATTATTGGATTTTGATACAAGTTATTGTATATGATTTTTGGGAGATTTTCTATTGGTGAATATTTTGGTGCTGTTGTGAGTAAATTGGATTTTGAGAAAATATATGGGAATTTTAGCGTATTTTGAAAGATACGAACTTTTGATTGAATTTTGAAAAAAAACAAAGAAAAGTTAATATTTTAATGGTGACACTAATGTCTATAAGACATAAATATTGATTTTTGAAAAAAAACAAGATAAAAGACTGTTTTCATAATTGGGGCACCACGGGAGAAATCCGTAGGTGTCGGGCCACCTTCACGTCCGTTAATGGTGAGGGAGGGTTAGGACTACTACTACTTGAATTGAGAGGTGTGAAACAAACTAAATGAATTTTGGAGGGTTCGGTAACCATCCCGAACAACTGGGCATTAGATCCCCTTTTATTAGAGCAGTAGTAGTAGTACCTATTCTCTTAAGGGTCTTTGAACCTAGAACTTAGGGAGCATATCCCATTTGGAGTAGGGAGACGTTGACGTCAGAACTACTTAGACTTCATACTACTCGGAGGGCTTGGAATCCCTTTAGGGGGTGTGCACACTTAAGGTAGAAGTCTAGATTCTAATAGAGGAGATGTGGTACCGAGAGCAGATCGGAGTGACCGTACAAAACAACGGATCACTGGGCTCAAGAATCGAGATAACGCTTGAGCACCGCCCTTCTAAATGAACTAGGAGAATTAGCTATAAAGCTATTTTGAGGTAAATCAAATGTTTTGGTATTTTATAAATTGTGAATTACTTAAGTACAAATACTGGTGATATTCGTTTGGAAAACATATTTGTGGATATTGATTATGTGTTTTGTAAGGATTGTGATAAAGTGATTAAGTGAGTTTTGAGATGGATATTTGGAGTTGTGTATATGATATATGCTTTGGAATATTTATGAGAGTTTTTATTACATTTTCTAATGTTGGAATTATTATGATTTGGAATATTATTATTTTACATATGAATTATGTTATGAGGATTTATTATAAATATTGTTTTACTTATGATTGGTATGAATGTTTTGAAAAGATTTTCCTCCCAAATCTTTTGCAAAAATTTTATATATGTATCAAACGTGATTATTTTACGGGGTTGGGTGGGACTTACTTAGCATTTCCGGCTAATTTTTGTTTCTTGTTTTTCTTTCTTTTTCTGCACCTTATTTGTGCAGGAGATAAAGGTTGAGTATCTATTTGATGACGATGTTGATTCGAGAGAGATTCCGCTAGAACACCTAATTAGTAAATCATTGTAATTCAATTTTTCAATATCTTTAGTTAGTGAATATCTGTTTTTGGAGTTAAGTTGTTTTAGCCTGTGCACTCGGTTAGGGGAGAGCCGAGTGTGGCGGTAACGCCCCTATTTCCCTTTTGGTTTTCGCTGCATAACTCTGATGTTTTTCAAATAAAGTTGATATTTCTTTTAAATAAAGTATTATTTTCGGGTGGCAAATTTGGGGGTGTTACAAGTTGGTATCAGAGCAATGGTTTTCCTGGGACATTTTTCAAATCGGTTTTCCAAAAAAAAAAAAAAAAACCAAACAAAACCTTTTAAACGTTTCCGAAAAGTTTTCTCAGATATAAAAAAAAATTGTTACTAGGTTTTAAATGCTTTTCCAAGAAAAGGAACATAGGAATAATAACCGGTTTGAGGAAAAAAAATGATTAGGATCGTGGTGAGGATTGTGTGATTTTTACTTGTGTGATTTTTATTTGATGTATGGTGCATTGTGAATTTTAGTATTGTGAAATTGTATATGTGCTATGGGCCCATATGAGAAAATTGGAACCCCGAAGAGGTGGAGATTGATTTTATGTGCAAAAACTTTGATAGATATATTTCCTAAAATTCTTGATGGGTGAGGTATGTAACTTTTATGATTGTTTGAAATATAGGATACGTTGATGGGTGGGGTATATATGATCCTTTTGAATTCTATAAGTTGAACAAGGTTCTAGAGTTTGTGGCATTCTGGTAGGTGTAGATTATAATACACCGTATTAATGAAACATTAGAAATCGTTCGTTCTTAGCTTATGCTTCGGGACGAATCATCTTTTAAGGAGGGTAGAATGTGACACTCCGAAAATTTTATAAAAAAAAAATATAAATAGTTCTATTGATCAAATAAAATGTTTCAAAGTGACATGCACATAATTAAGTGAATTAGATAAAATTTTAAGAAAAGTGAATTCTTAGGATAATGTAACAAAGTAATGATTTTCTTTTCATAAATAATGTGGAATAGGAGGAAGATTATTAGGATTGATAGTTTAAAAGATGTTGATTAATACAATTAATTAATACTATTTGTACAATCATATATGACTATAAATAATGCACATGTTGACTTTTCAACCTAATTTACCCTATACGCACGTACATATGTAACGTATATACTCATAAACTTGTACAAGGAAACTCATTAAACATCGATATTGCCTACCATATTTACTCGCACATGCGTATACTCGTATATATAGCGTCCAGATACATTCCATCCGGAGATTTTCGTTCAAGGCCGGAAACCCGGAAACTAACTTAAACGTGCGAAGCTTGGGGATAAAAATCAGCCTGCGCGTAAAAATTGGATCGCATAAACTCAAACACTTAACCAACCGGATGATATACACAGCCTAGGGTATCCCCTTATCGGTATAAATATGTTCTCATTGGCCTGCAGTTTCTCCATTCAACACTTCGGCCGACACATATAGATCTACAAGGGTTTTCCTATCTTTCTTTATAACAACACAAAAAGAACTATAAACGCTTCCAAACCCTTCTGCCGGATGAGAGAAAGCGAACGAAGCAAGAAGCCCTGAAAACGATCGTGAAACGAGGGATAAATCGTTTGCCGGAGTCTTGCCGGACTGATCTTCACGTCGGAAACCCGAGGAAGCAAAGCTGACGTATCACATCCTTCCAGTCCATTGCCGATCTTCACCATCTTCAAACACGCCGCCTTGCCACTCGTCCGTTGCTGCAGTAGTAAGTTAACCTCCACTCTGCATCTTTTTGTTGTTTCCGGCGTTCCGTGAAGAAGTCGACGCAGGGGTAGGCCTTTGCGATCGATCCTTCTCAAAAGAAAAAGGGGGCCGGATCTGATTTAATAAAGGTTGGGCCGTATTTGATCAAAGTTGCAGTTGGATTAAAAATAATGATTTGAAAATGAATAATAATAATAATAATAACAACAATAATAATTGTTAACTGGATTGACCAAGTGGACTCGGAAATTAATTAATAATTTATTAACATAATGATAAAACAGATTGGACCACTTAATCCATTAAGAAGTAAAATTATTGATATTAGAATTTTAATATTCTTAGAAGGTGATTTTTGGTGAAAGATGGAGGTAGAAGAATTTTGCTAGGAGTACTTGAAGTTTGAGGTAAGTTTCATTGCAACCAAAATTATACCTTTTACCTCGTAATTATTTTGAATGTTTTAATGTACAATTTGAGTAATGTATTTATGTGTATTAAATTTGAGTAAATGTTATTCTATATGAAGTTGTTTGTACTTGATATATTGGTTTGTTATTATTGGATTTTGATACAAGTTATTGTATATGATTTTTGGGAGATTTTCTATTGGTGAATATTTTGGTGCTGTTGTGAGTAAATTGGATTTTGAGAAAATATATGGGAATTTTAGCGTATTTTGAAAGATACGAACTTTTGATTGAATTTTGAAAAAAAACAAAGAAAAGTTAATATTTTAATGGTGACACTAATGTCTATAAGACATAAATATTGATTTTTGAAAAAAAACAAGATAAAAGACTGTTTTCATAATTGGGGCACCACGGGAGAAATCCGTAGGTGTCGGGCCACCTTCACGTCCGTTAATGGTGAGGGAGGGTTAGGACTACTACTACTTGAATTGAGAGGTGTGAAACAAACTAAATGAATTTTGGAGGGTTCGGTAACCATCCCGAACAACTGGGCATTAGATCCCCTTTTATTAGAGCAGTAGTAGTAGTACCTATTCTCTTAAGGGTCTTTGAACCTAGAACTTAGGGAGCATATCCCATTTGGAGTAGGGAGACGTTGACGTCAGAACTACTTAGACTTCATACTACTCGGAGGGCTTGGAATCCCTTTAGGGGGTGTGCACACTTAAGGTAGAAGTCTAGATTCTAATAGAGGAGATGTGGTACCGAGAGCAGATCGGAGTGACCGTACAAAACAACGGATCACTGGGCTCAAGAATCGAGATAACGCTTGAGCACCGCCCTTCTAAATGAACTAGGAGAATTAGCTATAAAGCTATTTTGAGGTAAATCAAATGTTTTGGTATTTTATAAATTGTGAATTACTTAAGTACAAATACTGGTGATATTCGTTTGGAAAACATATTTGTGGATATTGATTATGTGTTTTGTAAGGATTGTGATAAAGTGATTAAGTGAGTTTTGAGATGGATATTTGGAGTTGTGTATATGATATATGCTTTGGAATATTTATGAGAGTTTTTATTACATTTTCTAATGTTGGAATTATTATGATTTGGAATATTATTATTTTACATATGAATTATGTTATGAGGATTTATTATAAATATTGTTTTACTTATGATTGGTATGAATGTTTTGAAAAGATTTTCCTCCCAAATCTTTTGCAAAAATTTTATATATGTATCAAACGTGATTATTTTACGGGGTTGGGTGGGACTTACTTAGCATTTCCGGCTAATTTTTGTTTCTTGTTTTTCTTTCTTTTTCTGCACCTTATTTGTGCAGGAGATAAAGGTTGAGTATCTATTTGATGACGATGTTGATTCGAGAGAGATTCCGCTAGAACACCTAATTAGTAAATCATTGTAATTCAATTTTTCAATATCTTTAGTTAGTGAATATCTGTTTTTGGAGTTAAGTTGTTTTAGCCTGTGCACTCGGTTAGGGGAGAGCCGAGTGTGGCGGTAACGCCCCTATTTCCCTTTTGGTTTTCGCTGCATAACTCTGATGTTTTTCAAATAAAGTTGATATTTCTTTTAAATAAAGTATTATTTTCGGGTGGCAAATTTGGGGGTGTTACAGGGTCGGCCTGGAGCCCTGTACCAATCTTAATCCGGCGTTCTAGCCGGGTTGGATCGACTCCAACCTCCTCAAGCTCTGAAACGGTCTGGGCTTTGTATTTCCCCTCCTCAAATTTCGACAAATCCTGCTCGATGGCGTTCACTCTTGCCTCATTTCTTCCGTCGGCCTTGCAAGCCTTTACATAACAACTCCTGACCATTTTTTGGTCTCCCCTTACTGTGCCCACTCCTGCCGGGGTATAGAATTTTAGGCACAGATGAGCTTGGGAAATGATTGCCCCCAGGTCTTCCAGGAGAGGTCGGCCAAGAATTGCTTTGTGTACGCTGGGTAGCCACACAACCACAAAGTCTGTTTTGACAGTCCTTACACAGGGGTTCCGATCCAAGCTGGATCTTGAGGGTGATAATCCCCTCGGGGTCAATGGTATCCCCTGTGAAGCCTGACAGTGGGGTTTCAACCAGTTTGAGGTCTGTCTTTTGGAGGCCAATCTCCTGGAGTGTGCTCATGTACAGAATGTTTACTAAACTTCCATTATCCACAAGGACTCGGTGGACAATGGTATCAAGAACCTCCATCTTTATCATCAATGCATCTCTGTGGGGTGGCGGGCATGGTGGTAAGCCATCGTCTGTGAAGACAATGGACTCCCGTCTCTGCTTTTTGTCCGCAGGAAGGCGGTTGACTTCTCCCACAAAGAGTTGGCGATTCCACTTTTTTTTTCTGCCGCCGTATCTCCTCCCACAGGTCCACCATAGATCTGGTTGACATGTGGGCGTTTCTGCCGGCCTGAATCTTCTCCCTCTTCATCATCCTCGAACTGGGCTCCAACCTCCCTCTTTTTCGAGGTGGAAGTTGGCTCGTCTTTTCCCCGGCTCCAGGTTTTCCTTTTCTGGGGGTCTTGATTCTGCCGCACTTTCTTTATGAGTTGCTCCAACTGTCCGTCGCGGGCCATCTTTTCCACATATCTCTTAAGGAAATAACATTCGTCGGTCTCATGGGTATCGCTCCTGTGGATTTTACAGAACTTACCCCTGGAAGTTTGACCGTTGACGACGTTACATTCCTCAGGGATTGTGATCAGACTTTGTTTCGCTGCACAGTCTAGGACGGTATCAACTGGAAATTCAGGCTGGCTGGACAAAGGTCCCTCTGGAACATTTGATCTGCCCTTTCCCCAGCCTCTTTTCTTCTTTTTGAATCCATTCCCCTTCTCCGGGTCATGGGTTTCCTTATCTGAGCTTTCTTTCTCTCACCATTGGACTGAGACTTCCCTGATTCCTCGTCTTTCTTTCGTTTCTAGGCTTCCTCAACCTCGACTTGTGCCTTGGCGCGTAACAGAGCCTCCTTATGGGAGGTCGGGGGCCTGCGTATAAAGTCTTTGTATAGTTCGCCCGACCTCAGAGCATTGGTGAGGATAGCCACGACAGACTTATCATCCAGGTCTTCTACCTTGACTGTCTCCTCCTTCCAACGACCCAGGAAATCATTCAGGGTTTCTTGGGAGCCCTGTTTGATTCCCAGAAGGTGAGAGACATTCTTTTTGGAATCCTTGGAAGTGGCAAAGCGCGTTACGAATGCGTGGGCCAACTCCCGGAAGTTCCCTATCCCTCTATCTGGCATAGAGTCATACCATTCCCGTGCTAGCCCGTCTAGGGTCACCGAGAATCCTCTACACTTTATAGGGTCGTCATATCCCATCATGACCATATAAGCCACATACCTGGAAACGTGGTGCTGAGGGTCCGTCTTTCCCTTGTAGGCCTCAATGTTGCATGGCCGGTATCCCTGAGGCAATGGTGCCTCCATGATTTGCCTAGTAAAAGGCTCGGGAATTCGCACGCCATGCTCGAGACCTGGTCTTCCTTCCATCTCCCTCCTGAGCTCGTCCAACCTTCTCCTGAGGTCGGTATTATTATGGCCGACTCGAGGGTGCACCGGAGATCGGCGATCCCTTCGGGCTTGCCTATTCCCGTTGATCTCGTTCCTGAGATCTCCCCTTTGTGCACCTTGGCGACGGGATGAAACGGCGGCCGAAGAGGCCCCCTCACTGTGCTCAACCCTAAAGGAGAGTCTATCATGAACATAAATCCTTTGCTCACTTATCCGGTTTACCACCGGAGTCCTGGGAGTTGCCTTGGATCGGTGGGAGCGTTGAGAATGGGCGGGTGGAGAATTCCTCACGCGTAAGAGGGAGTTCTCTTCTCCTCGTGGGGCCACGGATGGAGCCCGGCGAGGGGAAAGAGGTCTCCCAGTAGTATTTGGAATGATACCTTGGAATGCAGTTGTCAAGGTTTCCACCGCCCTCTGGAATGTGGCCAAACTCGCCAAAGCCTGTGTGGGATCCATGGTGGGGATGTTGTGCCCAGTGCCCGGCGTCTGGAACTGCGGCGGACGCACCACCGGGTCCCTAGGGTTCCCCCCACCACGAATCTGGTTCCTCAAATCACCTTGCGCGACGGCGTTGTCGTTGCGCCTCCTAAAATCGCTCCTCCGGGATCTTAACCCTTCATCTTCAACCGTAACGTGATTGAAACGATCTCCGCCTTGATTGCTACCAACACGATAATTGTTATTCGACACAACCATTGTTGCTTCGTATACTCGGCTCTCAACGAGAGCACCAAATAATGGAGTTAAATCCAACTACGAGAGCTAAATATACGGAGATATGAGAATAATATGGCAGCGTAAGGCAGTTTACTCTTTATTCCGGAGAACTAGCAATAGTCTAGCCTCGGTTCTGAATCTTATCGGGGGTTTGATTTCGGGGGAAGCTCCCTTCATAGGGTGTTTACATCAAGTATTTATAGATATTAGGAAGTAGAATTATGGGAGGAATCTAATACAATAAATGCTTAATTAATGAACTATATTCTTGCTCGAAATAGAACTCTTCGATGCTTGACTCCCACACGATTGCTTTCCCTTTTTAGTCGCCGTCTTCCAGATGAGTTCTGCCTGTTGCCAAATATCTATCAACGAATGATAGCTTGCCATGTAAGCCCTAGGAATTTTCTGGCCTCACTAGAACTCCGCCCAGGCTCGAGGTCTGCTGTCCAGCCCGGCCTGGTTGTGGGTTCCTATCGTGGGCCTAATTCCTAATGGGCTAAGCGGCTTTCAACCATGAATCCCGTTTATGGGCTAATCATGTAATTAGGCTGGTCCCATCAAGGGCCGATCCCTTTTATGGGCTAATCTTGTAATTAGGCTGGTCCCGTCAAGGGCCGAACCCGTTTATGGGCTAATCCTGTAATTAGGCTGGTCCCATCAAGGTCCAATCCCGTTTATGGGCTAGACTACGTAATTGGGCCATGGTCTTAATCCATGGTACCATCACATATATATGGTAGTAGGACAAATCGTGCATGAGTGAGTCAGAGAAAGGTATATACGAACCGATTACTCAATAGTAATCAATAATTTATTGTTGGGTGTGTTTAGGAAATTAAAGAAAAAATTAATTAAAATAAATTAATCAAAATAAATTAATTAAATAAAATGACTTAAACAAAACAAGAAAGGAGATGGAGCAGAAACTAGTCAAAGCTCGTGCAACGCACGATTTCCTTAAAACGTATTCGTTGTCTCCCGAGGTGCTAGGAGCGTTGCAAGAATCGTTTCCTAGGATACGATGACTATCGAGCTATTCATTGAGCACTCAACACAATAGTTCCAGCGAGCGAGAACAAAGCAAGAACACTTGGGAAGTTTTCAGAGAGACTGGAGGTGTATTTGAGCTGGAAAAACACGTGAAGTACGTATTGTGTGTTGTGTCTTGTTGCAAACCACCTGCAGCCATTTATGGGGAAGATTTGTTGTGTGTTAATGAAGGTTTAATGGATATGAACGTTGGTAATCAATGTCCAGCTCGTTGGCATTGATTCGTCCAGAAAACCGTCCATTTATTGCAAAGGAACGTTGGGCATTTATGGTGTTGTAACGTCCCAACAGCAACCTGCTGCAGACGTTCAACATTCGCGGAGTAGCAACGTACTGCGAATGGAGCTGCGGCCTACTCCAACCTGGAGCAAAAATAGGAAATTAACGGAGGAACAAAAATTAACGTTTATCTTTAGAAGATAGAATTTCCGGACGGCATTCGAGTCCGCAAGTCGCCCGTAAGTCGCACTTTTTGTTCTCCGATTTCGGGATTTGATTCGCACAGAGCCTTTACCCTAAGGAATCTTAGCTCCTTAGGGGGGGGTTCCCTTTATAAAGGGTTCAAATTCCCTTGGGTTTTCCGGTGTGGGAAAAAACCACACTAGAAACCCATCACTTTCCTACTTTTCTCCATTCCAATGAGTGAACTTCGAGAATCAATTTCTCATTTACCTGTTATCCGTTTTGAGCATACCATATATCGAATTGTAACCCTAAGCAAGGTCAATCCGAAACCACTTTGACCCGACCCAAATCGGAAGTGGACCCCACTCAAAAAATGTTCCAAAATGACCATTTAATGCAATTTACTAACTCTTTTTCCAACATTTATTCCCTTAACATGTTTTGTCATGCAACTCACCATATCAATAAAATATTCATTTAATAAGGGTTTTTTTACAAGAATATTACCAAAATAAAACTTATTTGCATAAATATGACTATTCATTACTACAACGTGGTATTGTAGTAACTTAAGTTCAACACTTGAACATGAATTACTATGATTTCATTACTACTCCAGTAACTAGTCATATTTTTGTAAATCATCTTTATTTTACTCATATTCATGTAATTATTTCTTTAATAGGGTGCTACTTCAAATATGGGTCATACAATCATGTACACACAAACCAAGATTCTTTCCAAAAATATTCATTAAATATTTTAACTAAGGATGACTTTTCAAAAGAGAGATTTACCTAAATAGGACTAAAACAAGGTAGAATTTCAAAAATAGGACTGCTATGTTTTATTTGACAAAAATAGGACTAAAAAGATGTAATCTGACAAAACTACCCTTAATTAAAAAAGCGATCACACCAGCGACGCACAACAGCCTCCAGGTTTCCGTATCATACACTTTAGCGATGCGCGGTAGTCATCCTCCACGAACTAGAGCGATGCGGCAGCCATCCTCCAGGAACCATAGTTGTTGCCACCATCCTCCGACGAAGCCATCGCTATCGGCAAGTACCTTCTCCTCCTTCTTCACTTCTTTCTTCTTCCTGCTCCATCTTATACATGGTTCTCTGTTTTGTTTGTTTTGTCTATTAATTTGATTACTTTCCAAATTCTAAATAAAATTTTGGATTTTGAAATTTCAAATGAAGAATCAAATTTCTATGAAACAACCAGTGAAAGAAATATTTAATTTCAAATGTAAGAATATCACAACTAATATGTATTTGAAAATGTCACTTTTTGAATCTGAGAATGCCTGTTATTAAAAAGAATGCCGCTTTTATGACATTATATGTATAAATATGGCAATATTTTTGGCTTGTTTGTCAAATGATATGAGTTTTATGATATTTAACATATAAAAATGTCATTTTTATAGGATGATTACATAATTTCCTATGAAAATGCCACAACTATCAATGTGAAAATGTCATCTTTTTACATCAGAAAATGACATCTTTTTACAGTTGAAAATGTCATCTTTATAAGCATATTGCTATAAAAGTGGCATTTTCTTCAAATTACAAATAAGTTTGACATCCTCAAATTGAATAAGTGGCATTTTCTGGGAATCTGCATTCTGAGTTTCAAAATTGCTAAATAAATTAAAATTCAAATCCACATATATTTGATCACCAGAAAAATTGAAAAAATTAAAATACAGAGGATCTGGAAGAAGATGAGAAAAGGAAGAAGCAAAGAGAAAAGAGGAAGAGGAAGAGAAGAGGAAGTGGAAGAGGAAGAAGAGATATGAACCAATTACATACTATTCACTTGGCGGTCAGAATCAACGAAGTCAGACGGTGACAACAGATGCAATACTGACGGCGAAGGGAGGCGACGAAGGGAGGCGACGAAGGGAGGCGGCGAAGGGATGCTCTGGTGCGCAATATAGCTTCGATGATGAGACTTGAGCTGTGATCGATGACAGAGGAATAGCAGAAGGCTTATATGAGCAAAGGATTAGGGATTTAATTATATAAGGGTATAATGGTAATGTTTGGTCCTATTTAGGCAATATAAAACATAAAGTCCTATTTTGGAGTTTTAACCATGTTTTAATCCTATTTAGGGCAATTTCTTTTTTCAAAATCGTGTGACCAGAGAACATTTAGTAAGCTACAGTCAACTTCTAAAATAGCAAGTATTCATTTAAGAGATGTAGGAGCACTAAGTATGGCAAGTAAGGATTCCTTCCAGAAAATATTAAGCTATATAGGTCAACTCATTTAAGTGCATGGAAAGATATTTAAATAGTGCCACACACATGCATCACATTCTAGGTACGTAGATAAAACATTATCATGCAATTAATTCATCTATACATTATGCACGACAACTACTCAAATAGAATAGAACTGAGTATGGTTCTAGCTTCTGTTCTTGATAGAACTAATAGTAGCTCTATCCGTTGGTCCACCTGCATGGTTAGTCATCAATAAAGTAGAAATGCCTGTTTGGACCTTAGGATAGTTCTATCCTTTTTTTCTGCATGATTATTGATTAGTCATCAACAAAACTAAATACTCAACAAATATAATAATGCGAAATTTCAAAATGAAGATATTATGCTATTTCATATAAGAATATTGTTTGACATGTTTGATTTCACTGTCAATTTTAACACTGACTAGTACGCACCCGTGTGATGCACGATGTGTTAATTTTAACTGGTTATAAAGTTAAATATCATACATTAGACAATTAAGAACTAAAAGGGTCACTACAAAAAAAACACGGGATTGACATGAATATTTGGCAGAGATTTCCCAAATTTAGCAGGGATTTGAGTAGGGATATGTCAAATCCGTGCAAAAAACAGTTTGGCACGAGCCATTTGGCACGAAATCCTCATAAAATCCGCGCTAAATCCGTGTCAATCCCGTGATTTTTTTTTGTAGTGGGTCATTCTTAAAATATTTCACACTATTTCACGAGATTCTAATTCTAGAGAATTCTAATTTTTTCTGAGAATTTTCTAAAATCTCATGAAGGGATCCTACATTTTTGTGGTTTTCAGTTTTCACTCACAATATCTTGTTTCCTAATACTCCCTCCGTCCCGCAAAATAGTTCCCAGTTTCCTTTTTGGGTCGTCCCAAAAAATAGTTCCCATTTCCCCTTTTGGAAAGTTTTGTGTGGTATACATTCATTTACATTTTTCTTACACAATCACAACCACACACTTCCATTTTATTCCCACTTTCTTAAACTCCGATCCAAGTTAATGCAGGGTCTATTTTATGGGACGGAGGAGTATCACAATTCTAGTGTAAAAATCCTCTTCCTCACGTTTTTCTTCTTTTTCTATTTATGTTGTGCACCAAACGGATCATTTGCCGACCAGTTCAAAAAATCTTTGCCACAAACAGCCCAAGCAACATCTTTCCCGGATTCAGATCCCCAGAATACCCTTCCCCTTTGCATACACGATAGCACTTCGTACTCCTCCGTATTACTTTATATCTTTTCTCTCTCCGCCGTCGGCCACCGCAAATTAGCGGCCGCTTCGTGAACGCTGCACAGAGTTTTCGCTTAGGGTTTGAATCCCCCGGAGATGGTGGAAACGGTCAGCATCGACGTCATTCACGGCGGCGTATCAGAGGAGCACCTCCTGTTGGCGGAAACTAGCAATACCGACTGCTCCTGGAGGTTGAACTTCGACGGCTTCGAGTTTTCTCCGGACAAAAAAGAGAAGCCTCCTCGTGGCCTTCATGACTGCCTTGGTGTTTTAAGTACTTTCTTTGACTTCCACCTGCTTCCTTATTTTCTGCAATTTATATTCTTACATCCTCCGCTTGTCTCATTTCCAAACGCTAGACGGTAAATTGAATTATTAGTAGTATAGGAATCATGAAGGAATGACACATTTATTCTTAAATCGAATATATTACTTTTCAGGTTGGAAAGGTTCGAGTTTATATTGTGTTGGATATTAGCAAATCTGAGTGGATTTAGTTGTTTGACGCACTGATACTTTCTGTAGCATAAAAATGTAATCCACTATAAAAGAGGGTTACTTTATTCTTATTAACAAAATCCAAATTCCAAGTATAAGAATAAACATATTTATGGAGAGTTTGTTTTTACCTCTCTTAAAGGTGCTGTGACTGAGCTCTTAAATGTTTATGGTCGCATTATTTGGTAATGTATGACCGAAATGCAACATTGACTGAATCTTGAACTGCTCCCTGCATACAGACTTGCTAATTTGTGTTTACACTGTCTGGAATTGGGTTAGAAGGGAAGCTTCTTTAAATGATTTTGAACATATAAATCTAGAAACTAGTTCAATAATACAGAAATGTGATATGTACCAAGCTAGCATCCAAAATCGAGTGAGAAGTTGCTCTGAAAGATTTTAAATCATAATATGAAGAAATACTTACATATCTATGACTAAAATAAAGTTTTTTTTTTAATAACAAAAATATGATCTTAATTCTTAAATTTTACACTTAATTGACCATGACACTATTACTCATGATAACTTTAGTCATATTTTTGTAAATAATATTAATTTTAGTATTATTTTTGAAAAAAAAAACTACTAATATAAATCCAGAACTAGTTTAATAATTACAAGGTAGTGTGATGTGTTGTTGACTGTATTCTTTTGAATCAGGAAATGATTTTTTTCTTTTCATTTGTTAACATTAAATTTGGGAATTTATCCATAACAATACTGCAAATAATTAAATGAGCTGTTGATGATTGCAGGAGAAGAGGATAATGTTGCAGAGTATTATCAGCAACAGGTAGAAATGCTTGAGGGATTTAACGAAATGGATGCCTTAGCAGATCGGGGTTTTGTTCCTGGATTGTCAAAGGTATACTATTGCCGTCTCTAAACATGTATTTACATCATGCCCACCCCCATACTTTTGGAGTTATACTAGGGTGACTATGCTAACCAAAGAACGGGTGGAACCAATTGCTGAAATTAGTTGCTGTATTTTATAGGAAGAGAAGGCAAACTTGGTGAAAAGTGAGACATTTGCCATAAGGATATCAAATATTGCAAACATGGTTCTCTTTGCTGCTAAGGTCTATGCATCTGTCCGGAGTGGTTCACTGGCCATCATTGCATCCACTTTAGACTCTCTGCTTGATCTTCTCTCTGGTTTTATTTTGTGGTTTACATCCTTTTCCATGCAAACACCTAACCCATATCAATATCCAATTGGAAAGAAGCGTATGCAACCTTTGGTTAGTATCTTTGCTACTTCATCTGAATTCTGTGCTTGATTTGGTACATAATCTCTCGTGTAGATTATTGTGCACAACAACACGTTTAGACGGTTTAGTTCAAGCTGCTTCCGATATTTTATTGGAAGTTTATGAAAAACATAGAGCCTTATTGTTGCAGCCTAAAATGGCTGAATTTGCTGAGGTTGTGGCTTAAATGATTAAATCAGCTTATTCTGCTAAATTATAGTAAATTGTTTTATTTAGAATATATTTCTTAAATAAATCAAAGAAAATCATATAAAAATGAAGGTTGAAACTACATATCCAGCTATTCCAAACAGGCTTTTAGTATTACGTATAATTTCCATGTTTTAGATACATGAACAAACTGTTCGAGGATAGGCGGGGGCGCCCGGGGGAGTGTAGTTTGAGGGTTACTCCTACGGCTTCTATATCATTTGAGATCTAGTGTTTGCAATGAAGATATACACTTATGCAGGGGATCCTAGTTTTTGCTTCTGTGATGGCGACCTTGGGGCTGCAGATAATTTTGGAATCTGTACGCAATCTTATCTCCAAGGTAAGCGATTCAAACCATTCAGAGTTGTTATCAATGAGTCCTCTTTGATACCATCATTTAACTGTTCTCCTTCTGGCTTTAAATGCTTTCTTTTGTTCTTTCATTTTTTAATGTTTTTACTTTTGAAGGATTAAGAATCTTTGGTTCCACCAACACTAATTTACAGGAGTCCAACTTCAGCCTTACCAAAGAGCAGGAGCGTTGGGTTATTGTGATAATGCTTTTGGTGACACTGGTGAAACTAGCTTTGGTGTTCTATTGTCGTTCCTTCACCAATGAAATTGTTAAAGCATATGCTCAGGACCATTTCTTTGATGTTATCACCAACATCATTGGTCTTGTTGCTGCTTTACTTGCACAGTACATAGCTCACTGGATTGATCCTGCTGGAGCCATTATTGTTAGTGCTTTTGAGCTGCATACATTCCTCTCCCCACAGTCCCACACACATCCCTTTTTCTTTAGAAATAATAATAAACTGATAGCCTGTTTGGTAAGGGTAACTTTTGGATGAAGTTGCAGAATCTAGGATGGATGTGTGAAAGCTAGATGGTCCAAAATTATCTATAAATGTACTCCATATGTAATATGTTCTTGACAATTAAAAGAAAGTAGCATCTAAAAATCAGGAAATAAATGTTATTTCCTCTCATTTAAATAAAAAGTAACTTCTAAATTATTATTTTCTCATTATCACTCGTTCTGGTAATGGTAAGCACTAAACACAATATGAAAGTTAGTGTTTGGTAGACAATGAGACCGATAAGCAATAATAAGAGTTCAATTCAGTCATTTCGTTTTTGCACTACCTTTGTCCCAAAAATAAGAGTCCTGTTTTTAATACTAATAGTATTACAAATAGAACTCTGATTTTGGTACGTGGGGAAGAGTATATCTCATTTCTCTGTCTTTGCTTGTTTGGGTGTCATTATATTGCAGCTGGCTTGCTACACTATCAAAACGTGGTCATCGACAGTGCTGGAGAACGTGAACTCTCTTGTTGGCAAGTCAGCCACGCCTGAATTTCTAAAGAAACTGACATACCTTTGCTGGAATCACCACAAGGCAATAAGGCACATCGACACCGTGAGGGCCTACACATTCGGGTCCCACTATTTTGTTGAGGTCGACATTGTGTTGCCGGCAGACATGCCCTTGCAGGAGGCTCATGATATTGGGGAGTCCTTACAAGAGAAGCTTGAACTGCTGGAGGAGATTGAGCGCGCCTTTGTTCATCTTGATTATGAGTACAGCCACAAACCTGAGCATGCACAGGCGCATCTATAGTTAATTAATTTTAATACATGCGAGCCCCCCACGCCCCATTAATGATTTCTTTCCGGTGGTTTGATGCTGTAATTTGTAATACAATGCAGTAAATATGGTCAGGGTTGCATGTTTTTGTGGTCTCTCTTTAATAACAATCTATAAACAGCTTAATTAGTCTTAATTTGTTGTTTTGTCAATTACTACCTCTGCTCTGGCCCTGTAAAGAGCGAAATCTACCCCATGCACTTTAAAGCAGTTGAACATTAACGGAACCAGTTGATTTGGGTGGTCCAGCAGTGTCAGGTCCCGTCAATGGGTTGGGAGTCTGAATTAAGAGTGGACACTCCGTATATAGACACAAGGTCTTTTATTAGGAGTGGACAAATGGAAAGTGGAAATTGGTGGGTATAGTCCCAATTCATTAAACTTGTAAGGTATCCGTGAAGCTTTTAACTGTTTGGTAGTTAAGGATGGAATCATTTGGTAGTTGGTATCATATCGTTTGTGAATGGTATAAAACAATACTCCCTCTCCCTCTGTCCCTGAAACAAGTTCACCTTTTTTTTTTGGGTAGTCCCTGAATTAAGTTCACCTTTTCTTATTTGACAAATTATCTATATCAAAACAGTGTCCAAACGGTAAAATTTACCCTCCAGTAAATTTCTTTCCTTAATATGTGTGAAAAGCAATGGTGAACTTCTTTCGGGGACGGAGGGAGTACGTACAACGGTACAATGTCTAATGCTATTTTGTTTTTTCAATAAATCCGACAATTTAATAGATATTATCACATCGATCGATTCACATGAAATGAAATGCTAATAAAAAAATGAATATAGCAAAAATGTACTCCCTCCGTCCCCCTAAGTTTGGGACGGAGGGGTGTGGTGTAGTTTTTAAGAAAAAGTGGAATTGTGTGGTTGGTATTGAATTGATAAAGTGTAAATAAAGTAAGAATGAATTCTAACCACTCAAATGTTACCAAATATGGTATGGGACAAACTTAGTGGGACGGACGGAAAAGGTAAAACGGGATAAACTTAAGGGGACGGAGGGAGTATTAGAAAAGATTCAACTGATTGAAATTTTTATCTTTAATTTCAGAAATACTCAAATAGTACAACGTAATTAAGGAACCATATAGCAAAATGATGATACGCCAATAAATATCATTTTCATTAAATTCATGTGAAAATATAAAAAAAATTCATCAAATTGTTGAATAAAATAAAAAATTCTACATTCATCCTCTTTATCTAGGTTGAATATTAGTTCTAATTTGCATTAATTCTAATTTACAGTTGTACCGTGAGAGCTTATATTTAAACCATGAGAAAACGGTCGGTTTAGTACATCAACTTGGAGCGTGTGGAGTAAAGAGTCCCTCATCTTGAAACTCAGACGCGGTGGTACCTTTATTAGGCCAATTACAGCCAAATCAGTATAAATACAAACGCCTCGTTAAAACAAGCCAACATGGCAATTAAAATCAGTTTCTTTCGTACACGGTGGAGGCCTTGTCTGCATTTTCCCAACCTCCCTGTTATATAACCCTAAATTGTAGATTCCATGGCCATCGAACTGAAAATTGAAGAGTGCCCTGTCTCCAGCATTGGCCGTCTTTGTGGTGAAGAAGCTGTTCATTGAGGTGTTGTACTGTGTTGGTGAGTTGCTTCAAATATATGTAAAAACTTCATCTTGTGCTGTATTCTCATTCTTTAATCGAATGTCCAGCGATATGAAGGATTCAAGAGAGATGGCTTATGAAAAATGTGCGTGTGGAATGCTTGTGAAGATGATGACTTCCTGGACTGATGACAATCCAGGGAGACGATTCATTGCCTGCGCTAGAGTAAGTGTATTAGACTGATTATAGTTTCAGATTTCTTGTGATTTTGGTTTGATTGTGACTTAATGTTATTCTTTCAAATAGAGAATTGGTGGATGCAGCAAGTTTGAATGGATTGACCCTAAAATGTGTGCAAGGTCGAAGGTGATAATACCTGGTCTTTTGAGAAAAATAAACAACCTACAAGCTCTTGTTGATGAGGCAAAGCCAGTGACAAAAAACACAAGATTAGGACAGTGATATGGTATATCATAGCAGGAGTTGTGGTACTACTATTGTTGGTCATATGTGTTGGCAATGAAGAGAAGAAGCCCTTCGAATGGAAAACTTGCCAGTCTAACATTATGTAATGCTATTTTGGTTATACTCTTATATGGATTTATGGGCAGTAGTAATTGATGTTGGTTTGTTGTAATGTAGTGTTTGTTTGGAATTAAGGGGATATATGGTCATTGTGATAATGTAGTGTGTGTTTGGAATGACATTTAAGCTAATGTAGTGTGTGTTTTGAATGACATTATCAACAATGTATGTGTTCATGAATCGGTTAATGTGAATCATTTATGGAGTTTGTTGTCATCAAATGAATGTTTTTATGCTTAATTTTCATAAATCATGCACATGAAATCTGGCAAGAACTTTGACTTATGAAGTTCATGTTGTCTGGAATCATGAGACTGTCCATGTCCATTAAAAATGCACATTAATGATAACTACCTAAATGTGTTACACATCCAAAACCAATAAGGTATATAATACAAGAAACATTTATGTGAAAGACCCCTTTTGTACAACTATGACTTGTAAGATCCATTTTAGTATGCTATTCAAAGACCATTACCATAATTCCACAACACAAAGACAAGTACAATTTCACACATCATATAAATGTAGCCATCATATACAAAAATAACCAACTTTCTGCAGTTTAATGTACCAAAAATACCCATACGCCCAATACTTCACAACATACATGAAGTAGGCAAATACATACACACAAAACCCAATACTAATATGTCTTCCAAAATGGAGTAAGTCCATAAGCCAACTACCCTTCTGATCCCACATCCCAAATGTGTAACAACAACCATATAATGGGAGAAAGTTTAAGCAAAATGAAAGGTAATACAAGAAAAAAAACAACCATGTCAAGTAATTACAACAACTAGACTACACTTCACTGCCTCCTTCCATGCTATCAAACAAAGTATTAAATCTTTCTCAGCCTCAAAAAGGGGATCTTCAAATCCCCAATCATCATAGAAAGGCACGTGCATAGCAATATCACCTACCACTGAGTCAACACATGGAGTCCCTCTTTGGTCATAATTATCCATTGGTTATCTGGTTCAAATGAAATAAGGCAACAGTAATGACATAAAAGCAATTAAGCAACAACTAAAGGACAAGTAAAATTAACCTATATGTTAAAGTATGAAGTAAATGTGTCAACCAAATATATAATATACTGACTGATTTTTAGAAGACTTTACTCATCATACAACCACCAATTTTGAAAACACAATGTGCATTGAAGACATATACATGTAAATAGTTTTTCACATATCAAATGCTAATAGCTTATACAAATACTGAACAATAAACACATACATACGCCATCAATGATGCATTTGTAATAAAGTAGCATACCTTTTTTTGAAATTAGGCTGGTAATGGCTTCAACCGCTACTGGCTTTTAGGTGCGAAGCTTTTGCCTTCTTCATCCGTAATACAACAAGACCAGCGTAAGAATGGTTAAACCTAGGGTTTACCCGTCCTAATGTTACGGATGAAAGAACAGGTGGACCGTTTTTTCCACATCAGACGATCTGCTAGCCAACTCAGCAGATGTAACGGTGGAAGCTAACTGATGTACTGATTTGGCTGTAATCGACCTAATAAAGGTACCACCGCGTCTGAGTTTCAAGATGAGGGACTCTTTACTCCACACGCTCCAAGTTGATGTACTAAACCGACCGTTTTCTCTTTAAACCATATTAATTAAATTGCAACAATATCACAAATATGATAGAATGGCACAACAAAAAGTTATATAAACTAAATTATTGAAAACTAATATTCATTGATGACTTTTATAACTTTAGCATTCTCTTAATATATACCAAAATGTAACGTAAATTATCTAAAAGGAAAAAATAATAACAATATCCATATAAAAACTCATATTTAACTATTTTAAGGACACACGAAAACATACTTGGGTTATAAAATTGTTGGTCTTAAAATCTCAAATGCAGTATTTTTTAACGGTTTGATCTGATATTTTTCAGTTTTCAAAGTATAGGACCGGTCATGTACCCGTTTAAACAATACGGTTTTGATTGGGGATACAAATCTATAGAACCATTAAAATACCCGATATTCAGTTCAGCACCATTACAGGTCGATTCGACACCGGTTTGATTTTTATGTCAACCCCTAAGGCCTGTCCTATTTATCTCAAGGCTTAGGGGCAATAGCTCATCATGAGACTATTCTATAAAAAATAAAAAGTATTTCTCATTAAATGAAGATGCATAACAAAAATCATTTTTTCTTTTCATTTTTCTCTTTTACCTATCCAAATTCAATCACTTTAATCAAATGTACAAATCTAATAAAATTTATAAATTTTAACGACAAATAATAAGTTTGAATAACACTAATTTCAACACTTTAATCATATTTTTTTCCTTCCTTCAAAAAAAAAAAACAACCCAATACAACAATTCAAAAAATAATGTCACATAACAAGTTAGTGAAGCTATATTTTTTATTTAGACGAGGAAGCGGTCTTTCCCTAAGTATTAGGGTTTGAGAGCTCGCCGTCATTGTGCGGCGTTTTTACTTCGAAGCATCCAGGGTCGGACTTGGCCCTCTTCGTAACCTGCAGCAACATGTTGTGGCGGCCGATGGAGAAGGCGATGTAGGAGTCAAGGGAGGGAGAGTTGCTCGTCAGGAAATCGATCGAGCGACGGGCGGGAGCAGAGCCTTCTACGCTAGGGTTGGGAGTAGTGCCTTGTTCGTGTCAACAATCATACCACGGTCCGGCATCCTCCTGAACCACCGCTAGGGATTGAACGATGTGCTAGGGTTCAACATATTTATTTTGCTTATTTAGTTTTTTTCATGTTTCATACTCCTCCTATTAGTTTTTATTATGCTGTCTTTTGGTTTCTTTTTACCGTCTATGTTGTTAGGGTTGTCAGTTTGTTTGAAAATTTAGCCTTTCTTTATGTCATGGGGTATGTTTGGATTTATGGGAACAAGCATGGTTGTGTCAAACCCGCTGTATGGTTAGCGATTCGTGTTGCTCTTCCACGGGTGACCGTCTCTAAGTCTGATCATAGGGTTTACAGTCATAGTTGTTGGAGTTTAGTTGGTGTCAAATTTGTTTTTCCTTTGATTGATGTAATGATCCTGAAACTTATGATATGAATAGAGACAAGTTTTCGTTAAAAAAAGTTAGTGAAGCTATAAAAATAGTTTCACAATTTCTGGATGTGAAATTAATTATGAAAAATTGAAGTGATTATCAATAGGGTGAATTTAATTTTAATATTAGTTGATCAGAAAATGTCGACATTGCAAATCAATTCGGAACGGAGAGAGTATTTTACTTGGCACTACAACTCCGAGTTTCACCATCATCATGGGTGAAACAATGTTTATTATAGCTTTCAAAGTTTTGTTAAATCTTATGCTAGCGGTAGAAAGTGCTCTACCAAAAGTCTTTTGTGTAACACAATGATGACCATTTATCCAACAATAAGTAAAAATGTCACAAGTGTTTCTTCCACACAAATGTAACGTGTATGCCGAAGTTGTATTTTTTCCACAATGATGCTACACAGTTTTAGTTAATATTGTATTTATGTAATTAAATTTAGTATTGGATGGGTTTCCTAATAGAATCCTCAATATACACTCCCTCATGCTTAACAATAATAAGTCATTGAGCATGCATGCGCTAATAAAACTAACTCCAAGATCCCATTAATATTTTCACTAAGTGTTTGCCTCATTCATCTTCCATTTCGTCCAACCTATACAAACATTCTTAAATTTAGCACTCCATGTTTGAAAAGATAATTACAGATGGGCTATCATAACAATAAATATGATAAGTAATTAAAAATAAGACAACATGATATAACTATTGAATAAAGAAAAAAAGAATTTTTTTAGCTAGAAATACCAGTTGATCAACAAAAGCATTCGACAAGAAAGGTTCAACAACAACTAAAATTTCATGAAAAGTAAAGTTTAGAAAGCTTCCTAAATAAATTATAGTCTTTGTTGATGTTATAGTTTACCCACTCTTGACTCCCTTGAGGTGACATTTTAAGAAAAGCTTCTTTCATTTCAAACTTATATATGAACACAAGGGTGAAGGACAGTCTACTCGGGGGTATCTTATCCGAGGGGTTATTGCGGGAATAACTAGAGAGAAGTCAGAGCAAATAGGAGGAGAGAGAGTCGATTGTATTAAATGAACTCAGCGTGGTTTACAAGGAGAATAAGGGCTGCTATTTATAGCAGCAATAAATGCGATGAGAGAACACGTGGCGACAATCCAACGGCCGAGGGGTCACCTCAATCGGGTGGCACTGGCAGTCGCATGTGCACCGCATTGAATGCGGTGGGTGGATGTGACGTCGCATTAAATGCGGTGGTTGCTTGTCTCCAAAGGGAATCTTCGATGATTGAGTTGTTGGCCGAAGGCTCCCCCTTCGGCCGAGGGCTTTGTATAGCCGAAGGCATGGGAGTGCCGTAGGCTTTCCTGACGAAAGCTCTGTCTAGCCGAAGGCACCACGTTTGTGCTGAAGGCTCCTGATAGCCGAGGGCTACTGTTTTACGCCATTTTCTCCCAGTAGCCTCGTATGCTCGAATCTGGCTGCCCTGCGTATTTTGGAGCCTTCGGCCAAAGGGGCCGAAGGCACCCCAGTGTGTATTTTGGGCTTCTTTGAGACTTGGGCCGCTGTATTTGGGCTTCGAATGTTCCTTGGGCTCAATGGGCATGTGTAGGAGAAGTAGGAGTCTATGGGCCGGGGGTTCCCGGGCCATATACTCCATCAAAGGGCTTTGTAACACGTGCTATAAATCTATAATCTAAATCTGGAGTCTCTCTCTAACGTCTACAATTCCATATGTTGTTATTGCTCTCTAATTCCCTTTTCACCCTCTCATATTTCTCCCTGTCTTTTTCTCTCTTCTCCATCAATTTCCTCATTTCTTGAATGTCGTTAGTAATGTCACCAGTATTATCCATCCCACAAGCAACCTTTATTTGAAATTCAGCTCGAGACGCAACATCTTTTGGATTAATAGATATCCCTTCACATTGATCTGTGGTTCACTTTTTTGAACCACGTCACTATTTCTCGAGGGAGCTTCACTTCTAGTTCCAAATGTAGGAGACAAATTGAAATTGTGTATTGAATCTTGTTGGGTTGAGATGTATCATGTATGCGTCTTGAGACTAATCACACACACATAGTCTTCTATTGAACTGTAAGTATCCTTTTCAATACCATATTCTAGCATCTGACTCTTAACCTAATCCAATTGAAGATTTTCCTATAATTAATGCATTCCCAACTACTATTTGTAAATCTTCATAGTTGGAAATCAAAGGTATCAATATGAAGATTCCTATGAGTAGGATGAGGTTACGGAAGAGAATAACACACACAACTTTTTGGTGAATTGAATTATTAAATTATTTGGGAGATACGTCCATCAAAATCATTCAAGATCCAAGTTTAGGATGTTTGGCTTTTAATAGGCCTATCGATCAAATTCCAAGTTGAGGACATGGGTGGTCATGATGAGAGACGGAATGAGAATTTGATTATACTGGTACTAAACTTGATTTAAAATGTAACAATTTGGAACGAGACGAGACAAGACATAGTCCTTTTGTTGCTCCATTTAATCTAATACTGGGAGAAATCGAGATAGTTCGGAACATCCCACAAGAAGTGTAGCGAAAAAACTGCAACACAAAACTAAAGCCTAGTTTTGAGCATCTTATTCATCAAGCCTAGTTTACTCCTACCAAATTTTAGCTAAAAATTTAATCGGGAGCGCATTCAAATTAATTCGACAACGCAAAAATGCGCAGTTATCTTCAAAAATTAATTTGAATGTGTTTCTGATTGAATTTTTAGTTGAAATTTGGTATGAGTAAACTAGACTTGGTGAATAAGATGCTCAAAAAATTTCATCAAAAAAATTCCACCGGGAACTTCCCCAAATCGCGACGGTCAGACAGAACCTCCTATAAAAGGACTTAATTGACCTTTTTATGAAAGTAAAAAGGTCATAGTACGGCATGTGCATGCGGCTGTATAGTATACATATCCTCCCAAGATCATAGTACGGTTTTGAGGTGGGAACCGGGAATCAGACAACAACAAAATATGCTACACGACTCTCTTCTTCTCTGACGTATAAGATGCTCCGTATTTTTTTCACTTTTTTAATAATAAATGCGACTATTATTGTACGCCAATTTCAGCTAGTCTCCATTTTCCCACTGCTGTAGGCCAAACTGCTTAACGGCCGCGGCCTGCCATTTCAGACGCGCTTACCATTCAAAGCAGCGACTCCCGGCGGCGGGCGGCTTGAATGCTGGACTGCGGTGGCTGAAACGAGCTCCTCTCCACCAATTCAATGGCCCGGGAGACTGCCTATGCCTCTCCGAGCTCTCATGACCTCAGCGCCGGAGCTGCCTACTCTTCTCCTCCTCCTCCTCCTCCCTCTCGGTCTTGGTCTTCCTCCTCCGCCGCCATGCGGATTGCCCGCCCTGTTAAGGTCATTCCTCTGCAGCATCCGTCGACCACGGCGTCGTCCGCGCCGTGCGTTACGGGCTCCGTGTTGTCGAGGTGGATCGAGAAGGTAAAACGGATGACGTGGACGGAGTGGATTGAGATATCCTTGCCTTGCTATCGCTGGATTCGAAAGTACGATTGGAGACGGGACTTGCAACCTGATCTCGTTGCCGGCGTCACAGTTGGGATCATGCTCGTCCCTCAGGTCTCTTTCTACACATACTTTGATTTCGGAAATGTTCCTGCTGCGTATAATTGAACTAAATGAATACAGAACACTAGGGAATTTTATATGTGACATCTTATCGCAAGCATGAATGTATTTCATTGATTTATTTCATTTGATTACGGGTAAGGTGGTTTAGTCCGGCTATTGCGGCCGCTGTGATACTTATGGCCGACGCGGTGTGAATTATTTTTACGTTCGAATGAAATAACTAAAAAAATTAATTTAGGGTTGCGTCTTGTTGCAGCCTAATGCGGCTCGAATGTGTTACGTTGCGGTTTCGGCCGTGAATTAGAAAAACACCGCAATTCCGGGGTGATGTGGTTATGCCGCGGGCCGCAACCGCAATATTGCAGCCGCAACACGTGTTGTGGTCTACAATTTAATAGCATTGTTTTAACCAAGAAAATAAGCATATGAGTTCATTCCTCTGTCTTAAAGCAAGTTTGAGTTATGAATTTGTGATCTTTGGTCAATGAAGCTTGTATTGAGCATTAGATTTGGTGTAAGACAAAAGTTATAAAGTACTCCCTCCGTCCCGAAATAAATGTCCTGCTTTCCTTTTCGGTCTGTTCCAAAATAAATGTCTTACTTCTTTAACTTCCTTATTTGGTAAACAAATCTATACCACACAGTGTCAAACAGTGCAAAACAGTGCTAAACAATATCGCTACACTGTGAAACAGTGGCGCAACAGTGCCAAACAGTGTGCAGTCAAATTCATTTTCTTAATCTGTGTGAAAGTCAAAGCGGGAAGTTTATTTCGGGACGGAGGGAGTACCTTTTTTGGGGTTGCACCGTGAAACAGCTTACTGATCAAAGCGCTTGAGAAAATGAAGATTGAAGTTTGAGCCTCCATACAATTATTTTTACCTTATCGTGAGTGTCTAGTATTATGTGTATGCGTGCTTTGTTTTCTTCAGTGTTATCCTTAAATTTATAGGTTTATATATCATGCACTGTCATAACTTATAATAGTATGCTTTTAAAGCAATCTGTATCATTTCGATTGTCCATTGATCAAAATATCAATTTGCCTTCGACTTCATTTAAATTGAATATTCTAATCATGCTGTTATCTGAACAGTCAATGTCATATGCAAAGCTTGCTGGACTTCAACCAATATATGGACTTTGTAAGTAATGCTACAAATTTTTGCTTAATTTCTGTTTCAAAAAGAGGGAAGTTTATTTTTGACTATTTTTAACTTGAAAAAATCTGAAAATGTTTAAGGATAGTGTATTGGTTCTCGCTGAAACTCTATTAAGTTTACATGATCTTGCTTCATTTGATTATTATCATAGAAGTTTTCCCATTACTCTATTTGCCCACATACAATAATTTGAACCTTTTGAATTATGTAACATTTCTTTCTGCACTTGTCTATCTTTATTTTGCCATTAGTCATGTAGGAAGATGTTCTAGCTACACTAAACAATTGTGAATTTCGAAGTTTATAAATGGCAAAGGATGTTAGAGCTGTTGAATAAGTGCCACATTATTTAAAAAAGGCCTAATTGACTGGTATTCCTTAAAACAATTTGTGTTCATAACTGCGCTCTTTTGTTTCTGGATTTTGCAAGTCAGATTCTGGTTTTATCCCCATATTTGTTTATGCCATTTTTGGGTCATCTCGCCAACTTGCTATCGGTCCAGTTGCATTGACATCCCTGCTGGTCTCAAATGTCCTGAGTGGCATAGTAGACCCATCAGACAAGTTATACACGGAGTTTGCTATACTCTTAGCCCTCCTGGTTGGCATTTTAGAATGCATTATGGGGATCTTAAGGTATTTTGCTTGACGGTCAATACTCAGTTCTAATTCAAATAGTTGGATTGTTTAAACTTTAAACTCCAAGGCAGCAGGCCTGCTTATTGTATGGTTGTTTGGTCTTCATGGGTGCCATAAGAAGTAATTATTTAGGGGGTGTTTGGATCTGATTCTTAAAACTGCTTCTGCTTCTTCAGGGAGTAGAAATAGAAGTTGGAGTGTTTGGGTGAAAGTGCAGAAGTGATTCTGGTGCTCTAATTTACTCCTAGAATCAGTTTTGTTAGAAGCTAGGGGGACCAACTTCTGAAAACTGATTCTGATTCTGATTCAGCTTCTGTTTTAAAAAAGAAGCAGAAGCAAAATCAGTTCCAAACACCCCTTAAACTAGTAATTTCGTATTTGATTCTAATTTATCAATTACCGCAATAATCTTGAGTGGGCTTAATCGTGCCACACTTTATAGGGTTGTCAAATAAAAGAGTGCAACATGCAAATATGACTACTTTCTGAAGGTTGAGAATTTAGCTATAAGTTGATAAGTTGCTCATCAAATGTCTACATTGCAATAATAGCTTGTGTGATGATAGATGTTCAATTATCCACATCTTTTTAGCTGTTCGAAACATCATTAGCTCACTTGATATCTAGATATCTTGAATTTCTTGTGTAACTGTAATTTCTTTATATTGGTTGCTCATATTTTTAACTTATTTTCTGCACTAATTCAGGCTTGGATGGCTCCTTCGTTTCATCAGTCACTCTGTAATTTCTGGTTTTACTACTGCGTCTGCTGTTGTTATTGCTTTGTCCCAAGCAAAATATTTCCTAGGCTATGATATAGAACGTAGCAGCAAAATTATTCCACTTATCAAGAGTATAATATCTGGAGCAGATAAGGTATGACTACTTTCTAAAACACTCCATGTGTAGGATACTGATTACTGTGTTCTTGTACTTCACTCCTTATGGAACTAATGTTGGCTGATATTATGTGTAAAATAAAAAGTTTACACTTCTTGCCTTAGAATTGCTTTCCCATGGATCTAGTTGAAGGGAAAGCACCAAAGATCCTCTAAGAGAAAAGCTAAAACTCTAAGCTTCATATACTGACATAGTTGGATAAGGTGATGCTCAAGGCTAGGAGTTCGAATGTCACCTCAATGATGTAACAACAAAAAAGTTTTTCTTAAACTCACCACTCCCTCTAGTACAAGACCTGGGGTGGTTATTAATGTCCAATTGTCCATACATCATGGTGCATTGTCATATGTTATTTTGTGCTTAGTGTACTGCAAGAAGAAGTGCTTCTAGTTATGTACCAACTATATTTTATTTCTACAGTTTTCCTGGCCACCTTTTGTGATGGGCTCACTTACGCTAGCTGTTCTGCTTAGCATGAAGCACTTGGTATGGCTCTGACCTTTATTTACTCCCTTTTCCCAAAATTTTCTTCCAATTTGACTTTGCACACTTAATAAAAAAATGAAGTTGTATGGTTAGGTGAAAAGATTAGAATCAATATCAACCACACAAAACTTTCCTAAAGGAAAAAAGTTTTCGGACATCCCAAAAGGAAAGTTGAAACATAAATGTGGGACAGAGGGATTGTTTATTTCTGTCTCATCAGTTTATGTTTATATTTTCTGCTAGCTGCTTATTTTCATTGCATTGGTCTGTAGGGGAAATCAAGAAAGTACTTGCGGTTTCTACGAGCTGCTGGTCCTCTTACAGCTGTTGTTCTGGGTACAATCTTTGTGAAAATATTTCATCCGACTTCAATTTCATTGGTGAGAATATAGTTAAACTAAATAACCTTATTATTCATTTAAAAAAGAAAAGGAAAAATGAAAAGAATATTAACTGTAACCTGCATTAGATCCGAACAAAAGCTAGTGGATGCTCACAATTAACATTCCCTCTGCCCCTTTTTAATTTGCCCTGTTTAGTTTTGCATGCAGTTTAAAGAAAATAAAATTGTGGTTGAGATTTCTTAGAATGGAAGTAATCTGCATAATTATTTCCATAAAAGGAAAGAGAAAGATTAAAAGGGACAGAAGCGGTATTTGGTAGAGTGAAGTTGAACTTTTTATTACTTCGAATGTTGGAGTATTGGACTGCATAGGCCTTAGTGCCTTACCAACGTCCAATGCTTCTTGGATGGGGACAAAAGCTAAAGTGGTAGAGAGGGATTTACAAACCCATTTTTTCTTCACTTACTAGGGCTTGGTTGGTAACATGTGAAGTAGCCAACTGTCGAAGACTTGTGATGAGATTATAATGTTTTTCAAGATTTTGCATTTCATCAATTGCTGTGGTTTATTTGTTGACTGTAAGAATTTTAACTTTAAATCTGAAAAAATCAGTTATCCCTCATTTATCACTTGGACTGTTTTGTTCCTTGTTTTAGGTAGGTGCAATACCACAGGGGCTGCCACAATTTTCTGTTCCCAAGGAATTTGAGCATATAAAGATTCTGATTTCAACGACAATTCTTATTACTGGTGTTGCTATCTTAGTAAGTAAGATATAAGCATGTACTTACACGTACCACCTCTCTTCTTTTGAGAAGCAAATTCGGTTAGATATACATTTTTGAATGTGTAGGAGTCTGTAGGCATCGCCAAAGCTCTGGCTGCAAAGAATGGATATGATTTGGATTCAAATCAAGAGGTGTGTTTTCATGGAAGAAAAGTTTCATGGCTTATTTATTCATCTATATATATTTATTAGAGATTAGAGGTAATCGCCTTATCAGACACATATATATTTAACCCTTCCAATTTATGTCATCATGTTTATAAGTCTTTGGCCCGTTTACGACTTGATTGTTTAGTATTTAGGACATGCTGCACTTTTAGGTAACTAACCTATAACTATACAAGTGTTCAAACTCCGCCATGAGGCCACTATGTGATTCATGACAGTCTTAAAGCAGGATAAATGAGGAGGGTGCTGTGTTAGGTGGGTGATGACCAGCCATCGCATGACATGAATAGAAATATGAATATTGCTACAACTAGAACGTCGAGAAGTGGCGCGTCATCCCTACGCCTTGGGTGGTGTCAAATATGCAAGGGTGCACTATACTTTATAAGTTTAAGTGAGGCGATAAGTATGCTAAGTCGTCATCTATAAGTGACATGCCACCTCAATGCTCGTGGATGATGTCAAATATGCAAGAGCATAGGGTGGGGTCGAGGTGGTGATTGGAAAGAGGGTGGTTGCACAATGGGACATGGAACTTTGAGTCTCTTATGGGAAGATCATATGGGATAGTTGAGGTTTTAAGGCAGAGGAAGATTAGCATTATGCGTGCGCAAGAAACTAAGTGGGTTGGAGAGAAGGTTATAAGTTTTGGTATTTGGGAAAAGATAGAAATAGAAATGTGGTACTCATTATCGTCGCGTGTGAGTTTATTGGGAATGTTGTGGAAGTAATTAGAAAGAACAGCTGCATTGTGAACATAAAATTGGTGATAGGAGATGAGATTGTGTCGGTGGTAAATGTCTATGCACCAAAAGTGGAGTTGGATGCATCTGTCACTCAACAATTATGGAAAGAGTGCGACGAGTGCATAGGGAAGAGAAGCTCGTCATAAGTGGCAACCTCAACGTGCACACGGGCTTGAGTCATGATAGCTTTTAGATGTAAGTGGTCTGGTGAGTGCCAAGAGAAGAGAAGCTCATATTAAGTGGCGATCTCAATGGGTACGTAGGCTCGAGTCGTGATAGTTTTGAGAGTTTCCATGACGGACATGGTTTTGGCACTATAAATGAAGTAGGAATGAACATTTTGAATGACTTTCCAGAGGGTGAAGTGGAGAGACAACATACGTGTAAAGTAATGATCTTATATTCTTGTCTTCCTCTTTTCTATCTAATTTTAATCGTATGTTGAATTCATGTTAGCCGGCCCCAAATTGTTTTTGGGGACAAGGTTTGAATGTTTTTGCTGTAAGTAATCTGTAACATTCAAAGTGTTCTACTGTCTTATCAGTTATCAAACAAATTAGATTAGTTTCTTGTTCCACTCCAACCAAATAATAAAATCACATTGCAATGTGTTGTAATACAAGAACTGTCATGTTATTTATATAGTTCCCTTAATCCCTTTTTCTTTTTGGTTCTACACTACATGTTCAAAGAATCTCTTATATGACTGTGATTTTTATTTGCAGTTATTTGGTCTTGGTGTGGCCAACATTTGTGGCTCATTCTTCTTATCATACCCTACAACAGGTGAGATTTCTCTGTGAAATTCCCATACTTCAAAATTTTTATAATGACAAGGAATATATATAATGCTTGATGACTAAAAATTGTAGTTTACTTCACCATTCTATTTCTGAAGGAAGCTTCTTTTTTATTATTTTCTTAAGGCTCTTTTTCCAGGTCTGCTGTCAATCATGAAAGTGGAGCAAAAACAGGCTTATCTGGGTTCGTGATGGGAATTATCATGTGCTGTGCTCTTTTATTTTTGACCCCATTATTTGAATATGTACCTCAGGTTGTGGTTTCTTGTCTGATCTGTTTCACCATTTAAATCCAATCATTCATAATTAGTGTTTGTTTACATAAATATCTCAATATAAAGTTTTGAGAGCATTCTATGACCCATATGTGTGTATCTCCCTTTTCAAAGTTTGCTGTCTGTTTGAACAGCTTTACTATTATCTTCCTAAAATTTCACATAAACAGAATATATAAAATGATCAGTTGCTAATTGCAGCTTTTAATCTTTATTCTGCTGCAGTGTAATCTGGCTGCTATTGTGATCTCTGCTGTAATTGGGCTGGTAGGTATATAGCTCACTGTAAGATAGAGTTATTTTCATTTACACAGTGACTATTGGCTATATTGATGGTATTGAGTTTCTATGCCCGAGGTAGATAATATTTTAATTTAGCCGTTGATAATAGTTGCGAAAATACTCCATCATGTTCAATGGAGCCAAAGACTCATTATATTTTGGCTTTAGGAATAGGATGAAATAAAGCAAAATGGCTCACTAAATTGTCTGCGCTTCTTTGTTATGAAGCACCAACCAACATTCTTAGCAGTGATGAAGGAATCTCCTGCATTTTCTCCTTATCATAAGCTCATAGTGCTGTCATACTGTGAACCAATTTTGCATGATGTGGTGTCCATATTGCACTATCCCATTCTGGCGATTATTTTGAATCCAGGTGGATTACGATGAAGCTATATTTTTATGGCATGTTGACAAGAAAGATTTTCTCCTGTGGATAATCACATGTGCTACAACTTTATTGCTTGGTATAGAGATTGGCGTTCTTATTGGGGTTAGTGCATACATATATATTGTTTGTTAAAATTTCAATTAGATTGTTAAAATTATGGTTTAAGTTAATAAAACTTTTAATAATGGATTATTATTGCTACCCACCTCTTAGGTCATATAGACTAAATAATATTCACAACCCATTGATAATTTATCAGATAGGTGATTGGGTGTATCTTGGGTTCCAAATTTATTTATTGTTGGACAGGAGCCAAATATACACCCATCTACTATTTCGAATATATCACTTTAAACATATACTCCAAGAAGTACGGAGTATCATATAAGCCCTCTATAGAAGAAACCCTTAATCTCAAGCATGTTGATGTTAACAACTTGATTTAATAATTTGAACTTTCAAGTAATTGTCTAAAATTCTTTGGAAGTCAAAACTATATTTTACCACTGTCCTTGTTATATCATCCCCTCAGTAAAAACAGCATTTTAGAAAGTCAAAGAAAAAGTTTATATTTCCTTCAAGTGCCTGCTATTCAAATTAGGAAGTTATTCAAAGTACGGAAATAGTATAAACTAAATTTATGCAAAAAACACAGTGACAAGTTTTATGCCAGATATCTTATCACATATTAAATATCACAAGACGGTGATACATTTAGATAATGGGTATAGTCATGCTCAACTAGAAGATTGATATTGTAGGATTAACATGCCAATGAGCACATCACACAGCACATGCATATAAATAGAGAAAACAATTTTCTTTTTCTTTTTACTCTTAGTGTACCCAAAAAATATGCTTCCCTTTTCCAGCCAATTTTCGCTTTTGGACACCGAATAGTAAGTACTAAGAACTACTCAACTACTGATCCTCACACACAAAAAAGTGTTGCTTGTAGCTGGATAGTATGACATGTCATAAAGACATTAAGATTGGTTACAGACCCCTTTTATTCTTTAATGGTAAATAAAGTTTCAGATTGGTTGGTGCAGGTTGGTGTTTCACTTGCTTTTGTGATTCACGAGTCAGCAAATCCACATATAGGTAAGCCCGCCCGTCTAAGGAGATTAAAATAACTTTTTCAACATATTGACTCTAATCTTCCAACTAATTCTCAAGATTGATATCCACTCATTGTAATTTCTCAATTTACTCGGCATTTCAGTATGATTTCTTTTAAAGATATTACTACCTTCAGTCTTGATTAGTCAATCCATTTAACTTGCTCTCAAATGCCTTCTGGCCTCAAAAATTCAATTTCTTTTTATGTGCTTGTGTGTTTGTGTGTGTTTGTAATGTGTTAATCTGTAGATTTACCTTATTTGATGGGCAAATAGTTTTGTAATGTGTTAATCTGTAGACTACTAATTCTTCATGTATGGTTATGTCTTGTAGCTGTCCTAGGCCGGCTTCCTGGAACCACTGTTTACAGGAATGTTCAACAGTACCCTGAAGCATACACATATAATGGGATCGTGGTAGTTCGAGTCGATGCACCTATTTACTTTGCCAACATTAGTTACATCAAGGACAGGTGAGTACATGTCTTGTCATTGTAATACACCAAACCATATTTGATGTGCCAATTCTAAAACAAAAAAATGATTTGAAGGTCAGTTTTGTCGTTTCTCATTCCATTATTCCATTATTATCAGGTTACAGGAATATGAAATCGCCAAAGCTGGATCCTCACGCCATGGGCCAGAAGTATCAAGAGTTCACTTTGTGATTGTTGAGATGGCCCGTAAGTTCCTTAAGGTCTGTTTGGGTGGAGAGTTTTATAAGGGAAGAGTTTGGATGGCTTAGTCTTTACATCAATATAGTCTGTACATGAATTGAAATGTTAATTAATAGTATAATTAGTTAAATATTATAAGAATTTTTGAACGTAGTCTATATCTTGATAGACTTTCTAAAAAAGTATAAATGATATTTGGAACGGCCTGAAGAGGTAGACCTACTAGACTTAACCCTTCAAAACGCTCACCTCGAAGCCTCTCCTTTCAAGCTGACCCACTTGGTAAACTGAGTTGCAGCAGATCTTGTGCCCTTACCTCTTTGTGGACTGTTGTTGCTAATGCACATTTCTACCATCTATTTCAGCTGTTACATATATTGATGCTAGTGCAGTTCAAGCTTTGAAAGACCTCCATCAAGAATACAAGTCAAGGCACATTCAGGTTAGAATATATCTTTAATGATCGTTGGTTACACATTTGTTATTGATATTATTATCCCAACACGTCCTGACCTCATTTCCAATGGAGCGAAAGACTCACTATTTTTTGGCTTGGGAATATGATGGAGTAACGCAAAATGGCTCACTAAACTGTCTGCGCTTATTTGTTATGAAGCAGCAGCTAGTCCATGCAATTTTCGACACGATTTTCAATATGGCCTCATGGATCATCTGGAAATGATCTCTCTGTGCTCAAGTACAGGGGTAAGATTGCATACATCCGCCTCCCTTACCCCACCGTAACAGCACTGGGATAATGTTGTTGTTATACAATATACACCTCCTGACCTCAATGTTTTGTTCAAGCTTTATTAGCCCCTCCAGTCCTTGTTTTAAGGCAGAATCGACCAAATTATACTGTAATTCACATCTCGAATTCAAAACTTCTTGTGAACTATACTTGCAGCTAGCCATCTCCAATCCAAATCAAGAAGTTCTGCTGACTCTAGCTAAATCTGGCGTGGTTGATCTGATCGGCAAGGAGTGGTACTTTGTCAGAGTCCATGATGCTGTCCAAGTTTGTCTCCGGCATGTGCAGAGCTTAAACGAATTCCCTAAAACTCAAGAAGTGTCACCATTGGAGGACAGCCCAGGTGCATTCCAAAGACTGCTGAAGCATAGACAGGATGAATTCTCAATCCCCGAGCTTGAGTCAGGTGATCGACATCCTTTTGACTACGGTTATGGAGACCCTAAACTGGAGCCACTGCTCTCTAAAAAATAAACTGGCACTCCTTGGTTTTTAAGTACATAGTTTGTACCACTAAATGGTCGTTCTAAGCTATTTCTAGATTGGTTTTTAATGATCAAAATATGAGGCATTTTATTGTGTACTTTGGTATACACATCCTGACCTCAATTTTTTGTTCAAGCTTTATTAGCCCCTCCAGTCCTTGTTTTAAGGCAGAACCGATCAAATTATACTGTAATTCACATCTCGAATTCAAAACCTCTTTTGAACTATACTTGCAGCTAGCCATCTCCAATCCAAACCAAGAAGTTCTAGGACATAAATTGCCAAAGGTATATTCCTTGGTTGATTATAGACTTAAAATGCTCTTTTCAATTTCCATCAAATTAATATTGCATTCGTCTGATCATCTCTTTGTGTTCCTAAACTTCGAGTCATTTTGGCTACCAGTAATCTATCAAAGATATATGCACATTTTCCTTTGTGTAATGGTTCAACAATGAGGCTTTTCATTATTGTAACTTATTTGCAAACAATATAAATCATCAAACATAATACAAACAAGTATAGCTAGTTTGGATTTTTTTCCTCTCTAGTTTTTTAGGGTGGCTGCACTGGCGGCACTCTTAGATGACAACCTTTGATTTTTTTCTAGTGTTTAGTTTTTTAACTCTGGATTTCCTTGCTACCAAGGTTTGACAATTTTTTCTTGCCGTGCCTTCCCATGACCTTTGTTTTGCCCATGATTTTCCTGTCTGACTTGATTTTGACAAGACCAGAAAATACAATAATTTTTATGGTGATATCTTATTTCGGTTAAACTGTATTCTTTGAAGGCGATTAAGGAAGATGATAATTTTGATTTGTTGGTTGATAATATTGTGATGATTAATTAGGATACGATAGTTTGGTAGTAGGACTGTAGGAGGTGGTTTGTCCAAATGGCCTCTCAAGTTTACAGCTTCATGAACATGACCTTGCAAAAGGGATAGTATAAGGCCATGATAGGGACCTACCTATTAGATGAATAATAGAAAGAATATTAATAATAATAATAATAGTAATAAGGGTATATAAAGTATTTAGTATAAATAGACGAAGAGGGGAGTTAGTAGGGAGGCTTTTAGACGCTTTGTCTTGGACTGGGAAGATTAGAGACTAATCCTCTCTTTCTTTGGGGGCTTCGGCCATTGGGGGATTCGGCCATTGTTCTTGTTACGGTACATCTTCAATAAAGATGACCATTGTTTCTTGATATAATTTCTGCAATTTCTGTATATTCTGGAGGAGCTCTAACATTGGTATCAAAGCACGTTACTTCCTGGAGATGAGAATTTGAATCATGGAGGATTTCTACATGACACCGCAAATGGAAAAGAGTTTTGATAATAAGGACCGACAGTTGAAGGAGACAAACGCTAGGTTAGCCACGATGATGGCCGATATGCAGGCTAGCTTCACGGAAATGATAAGCAAACTGCTAAGTTGATCGCGACACCGATCTTATACGTCACACTCTTTGCATCGCGACTCTCATCATCGTCACACGATAAAGTCAGCAAGTCCAGAGGAATCAGAAGAGCAGAGGCATCACAGAAAATTTGGAGACCGATTGAGGACGACTAGGTATCTTCTGTTACGTGACAAACAAGGTTCGTCGCAGTCACTCACAGGTTCGCAGTCGGAGTCGCGAACCACTTATGTTAGTTCGCAATCGCGAATTTCTTCTCACCGTTCGCAGTCGTGAACAAAGTCTTCCTCATTTTCGCACACATCGCATCACACTTCTCATCATCGACGTACGCAATCGTGAACTTCGCATCACCGTTCCCAAACCCCATCTTCCAGTTCGCAATCGCGAACTTCTTCATTCCGTTCGCAGGAATCATCGCTAAACAAGCAGCGAACAACAACCGATGGTCTCAAAACGCAGACATCCCCATCCGCGATCAACTCACCTAACAAGGTATCGCGATCAAGAAAGGAATCTTTTGGCTGGCCAGTTTGGTCGCAAGATATTCCTCACCCTGTGCAAGATTTGTCCCAGTCAATAAAGAAGATTGAGATGGAGACAACTGAATCTGTAGGTAATAAAAGGAATAAAAAGGACGAAATCGAAAAGCAAAGACAGGTTATTCAATGGCCAAATTATGTTTCTCCTATTTTTGCAAACGATGTGGGTTTAATTTCCCTGGAACAAAAGAGATCTGGTCCTGTGGTTCTCGAGGATTGGTTTATCCTTTCTCTGGAGAATCATATGCTAATGTTCAAATTGGGGCATTGATTTCACATGGAGGTTCACCAACTTGGATGAATGTTATGAGTGAAGGAAGACTTGTTATGGATGATAAAGAGGCTGAAACAGCAGTGTACTGACATTCATGTTATTTCCATGTTTATATTTATGCTTTTGATTAGTTTTGAGTGGTTATTACTCTAGAAATTACACACTTTTGGTGTAATAGTTTAGTTTGTAAAATGCTTGTAAATTGTTTAGATTAGATTTGTTCTGAGCTCAAACAGGTCCAAGACCACTCCAGGGACCATTGGTAAACATCACAAGTGGAAGGAAGGTGCAAAAATTCCAAAACAAAATGGAGATCCTGATTTTTGGTGTTGTACCCGGTCGAGTATACCCTATACTCGATCGGGTAAGTTGCTAAAAAGTCAAATCAAATCAACCCGGGAACAAGGCAACATGCAGGAAGATTTTTAACTCGATCGCGTATCCATACCCGATCGGGTAACCGACATACCCGATCGGGTATGAACCCAGATTTTCAGTTTCGAGGAAACTAACCCTTACCCGATCGGTTAAGCTAAAAACTCGATCGGGTACACGACCCTGCAGGCCTAAAAAGCCTATAAATACACCCCTTTTCCTCCACAAGAAGACCACCAATTCACATATACTTCTTAGCTCAGTTTAGACAAGTTCTTTCTTTATATTTTTCATCATGTTTAGTCTCCAAATGAGGAGCTAAACTCTTCCATCTTGGTTTTGCTACTTTGAAGCTTAATGAATTTGTAAGTTGTGAGTTATTATCTTTAATCTTCTTCCTTGAATATTAATTCTTTCTTTAAATACTATTTCTATATCAATGTTGGGGAGTGTTACTAAGATGACAATTAGTTAACATCTTGACATTAGTTATAGTAATAGTTATTTCTTCCTCTACGTTAATATCGGGGAGTGTTACTAAGATGACAATTAGTTAACATCTTGATATTAACTATAGTAGGATTCATCTTCTTTATTATTCTTCCTTGAGTATTAATTAATTCCTATTCATATTTCATATTAATATTTTGAACATTACTTAAAGGATCAACTAGTTTTGTTTCATATATTAATTATTATTAGAATCGGTCGATTAATACGCTTGTTATTAATTCGGTCCTTTCGCGGTAGTAAACTTGGGTTATTAATGCATGCGTTTCATGGTTAATAAACCAAGGGGAATTAATTATATTGATTAAACCAATAAACCGCTTGTGTTGAGGTTATCAATCTCAATCGTTTTCATCTTGATTTTATTGCTACTATCGAGTGAATATACGGCGCGTGTTCTATATTAACTCGGTAGTAAGTTTTATTAATGAACGCGTCTCGTTATTAATAACTACCCTCGACGAATTGGATATACTCCTCGATTGAGTATTCGAGAGGAAAATAGTTAAAGATATAACCGGGATCGACGAACATTTCATTAAGTGGATAAAAGCAAAGCCAAGTCTTCTTCTCATTAATTAAACCACATAACTCGTTCATCTTCGTATTTAAATATAATTTAAAGTTCATCAACCAAATATAAACCCCCCTTATTGTTACTTATCTATTTCTGTAAGAAGAAAAGTATTCCTTTCCCTGTGGATACGAACCTTACTTCACTATACTACGTATTTGTGTTGTATTGTATTATTACTTTGAGTGCACCTCACGACAAAGTGCACGTCAAATTTGGCGCCGTTGCCGGGGAAAGGCAATTATTTTTCTTTTTATTTTATTTCAAGAAAAATCAAAAAAATTAAATAAACAAAATATAAAGAGTTCTTACTTTTTCTATTTCTGAGCTTGCATGAGTATATGGTAAAAACCCGTTCTATAAACGAGCTTACTTACCAAACAAACCCCGAAATAGAACAAGCCTTCGAGAGGTTGAGAAATTTGTTTCCGCACACACCCTCGGAGGAAACCTCAAACGCTAGCTCCTATTCTAGCGAATCTGAAGAGCCAATCACTATGGCTCAAGAAACAAGAACCTTGAGGGAGCTCACAGCTCCAAACTTGAATCAACAACCGCTATGTATTACCTTCCCTACACTCAACGAAGGTAATACATTTGAGCTCAAATCAGGGCTCATTCATCTTTTGCCATCTTTCCATGGCCTAAGAGGAGAGGATCCGAATAAACACCTCTCAGAGTTCCATGTTGTGTGCACAAGCATGTGCCCTAATGGAGTCACCGAGGAACAGATAAAGTTGAGGGCCTTTCCATTCTCCCTCAAAGATACCGCAAAAGATTGGCTATTCTATCTTCCTTCGGGAAGTATAGATACATGGGCAGCCATGAAAAAAGCTTTCCTTGAAAGGTACTATCCCGCCTCTGTCTCCTCATCTCTCAAGAAGCAAATCAGCAATGTGGAGCAAAATGATGATGAGTCGTTCTATGAATATTGGGAACGATTCAAGAAACTTTGTGCGAGCTGCCCGTATCATGGCTATTCGGAGCAAGACCTCATCTTATACTTTTATGATGGTCTTTGCAACGATGATAGACGGATGATTAATGCCGCATGTGGAGGGGGAATCGTTAACAAAACTCCCTCTCAAGCTATGAACCTTATCTCGGAGTTGGCCGAGAATTGTAGATATCACAACGGGCGGTCATCAACAAAAAGAGTCATGGCGGCCGAATCAACATCATCTCTGGAAAGTCAAGTTGCCGGCTTGACTTCTTTGGTAAAGGATTTTCTTTTAAATTCCAAAACCCAAGAAGTCAAGGTCTGCGGCATCTGCACACAACAAGGTCATCCCACCGATGCATGCCCGAGCCTTCAAGAAGAAAACCCCGAGCAAGTCAACGCTTTGGGATTCCCAAACCAAAAGAGGTATGATTCTTACGGCAACACTTATCATCCCGGGTTTAGAGATCACCCCAATTTGAGATATGGGAATCCGCAAGGAAACCCACCACAAAATAACCCTCCACAAAACCAATTTCCTCAAAAGCAACCATACTCTAAACCCCAAGGGCAAGGCTCAACTATGTCCACCGAAGACATGATCCGAGCACTCACCTCAAATGTCTCAACCATGCAACAAAACATGGTTCAATTCCAACATGAGACAAAATCAAGCATCCAAAACCTTGAGAATCAAATGAGCCAAATCTCAAGTGCGGTGAGTAGGCTTGAAGCCAAGGATTCAACAAAGCTTCCATCTCAAACGGAGCCGAATCCAAGGCAACAAGCCCATGCTGTTACATTGAGGAGTGGCAAAGAATTGGTGATTGCCAAAGAGAAAGCCAAAAGCCACATTGGCGAGGAAGAGGAAGAAGAGCTTGTGGAGAAAGCTCAACCGGAGGAAGAGGAAGCTCACATTTCAACTCCACCCCCGGTTATTCATGAAGTGGAAGCACCGTTTCCCGAAGCTCTAAGGGAAACGAAAAGGGTGGAGAAAGATAAGGACATCTATGAGACATTCTCCAAATGTGAGGTAAATATTCCTCTTCTCAACTTAATAAAAGGTGTTCCTAGATTTGCAAAATTTTTCAAAGAGTTATGCACAATAAAAAGGAAGCATAGACTCAATGGAAAACAGAAAGTTCAAGTTAGTGAACGTGTCTCCGCGGTTTTTCAAAAGAAACTTCCAAAAAAATACAATGACCCGGGCATGTTCACTATACCTTGTAAGTTGGGAGGTACTACGTTTTCAAAGGCCATGTTAGATTTGGGGGCATCAATTAATGTCATCCCTTATTCTTTGTACAAATCACTTGAACTTGGCCCTCTCAATGAAACCGGAGTAGTTATTCAACTTGCGGATAGATCAAATGCATACCCTAAAGGTATTGTCGAAGACGTACTAGTTATGGTAGACAATTTGATCTTTCCCGCCGACTTTTATGTTTTAGAAATGGAAAATGACAAGAATGCGGTTCCTATCCTTTTAGGAAGGCCATTTTTAAAGACCGCTAGAGCTAAAATTGATGTTTTTAGCGGATCTTTAACTCTGGAATTTGATGGAGATAAAGTTGAATTCAATATTTACGACTCCATGAAATACCCAAATGAAAATCATTCTCTATTTGCCATTGATGTTATAGATCCCATTGTGCAAAATGCTTTTGAAATGAATGGGGAGGATGACCTACTAAGTGTAATTGAGAATGACCTCGGGGAAAATTCTTTAGAACTTGCTTTGACCCCCAATAGGCAAGCCATGATGGTGGAGTTGGATAACCATTTCCAACTTCCACTTATGCCACCGGGGTCAAGAGCATTCCCACTAACCATCCCCGAGGAAAAGCCTTTGCCTTCTATTTTGCAGGCCCCCGAAGTTGAGATGAAACCACTCCCAACACATTTGAAATATGTGTACTTGGGAGAAAAAGAAACATTACCGGTCATAATCTCAAACAAACTGACCGGGGAGCAAGAAAGGAAGCTAATTGCGGTGCTTAAAGAGCACAAACTTGCAATCGGGTGGACTATAGCCGACATTAAAGGCATTAGTCCATCTACTTGCATGCACCGCATCTTGATGGAGGATGAAGCTAAACCGGTGCGCCAACCACAACGGAGATTGAACCCACCTATGATGGAGGTGGTCAAAAAGGAGGTCATCAAGCTTCTCCAAATGGGGATAATCTTCCCCATATCCGATAGCAAGTGGGTTAGTCCAACCCAAGTTGTTCCCAAGAAGACCGGAGTCACGGTGGTGGAGAACAAACATGGAGACCTTATGCCCACCCGAATTCAAAATGGATGGAGGGTATGTATAGATTACCGTCGCCTCAACGCGGTAACTAGAAAGGATTTCTTTCCTTTACCCTTCATTGATCAAATGCTTGAGAGACTTGCGGGGCATAAATTCTATTGCTTCCTTGATGGCTATTCCGGGTACTTTCAAGTACCCATAGCCCCTGAAGATCAAGAGAAGACAACATTCACTTGTCCATTTGGCACTTTTGCCTATCGACGTATGCCATTCGGACTTTGCAACGCACCCGCCACCTTCCAAAGATGCATGATGAGCATATTCTCCGAGTATGTTGAGCTATTTATGGAAGTTTTCATGGATGACTTCACAATCCATGGGGACTCATTTGATTCATGCTTATATCATCTCTCCCTTGTGCTCAAAAGTTGTTTAGAATCAAACCTTGTTTTGAATTCTGAAAAATGCCACTTCATGGTGGAAGAAGGAATTGTTCTAGGCCATGTAATCTCTTCCAAAGGGATAGAGGTTGACAAGGCCAAAGTTGAAGTCATCCAATCACTCCCTTATCCTACCACCGTTAGGGAGATACGGTCATTCCTTGGACATGCAGGTTTCTACCGGAGATTCATCAAAGATTTCTCAAAGATTGCATCTCCTTTATGCACCCTTTTGCAAAAGGAGGTGGAATTCATCTTCTCCGAAGAATGCAAGAAGGCCTTCAAAACATTGAAGGAAAAGCTAGTAACCGCACCCATCATCCAAGCCCCCGATTGGTCTCTTCCATTTGAGATCATGTGTGATGCTAGCGACTATGCGGTCGGAGCCGTTTTGGGACAAAAGGTGGGAAGGGCATCTCATGTGATCTACTATGCATCCACCACTCTCAATGATGCTCAACGCAACTACGCCACCACCGAAAAAGAAATGTTGGCCGTCGTCTACGCACTTGAAAAATTCAGGTCATACTTACTTGGAACCAAAGTGATCATTTACACCGATCATGCGGCTCTTAGATTTTTAATGACAAAGAAGGAGGCCAAACCGAGGTTGATTCGGTGGATACTACTCTTGAGCGAGTTTGATGTTGAGATCAAGGACAAGAAGGGCATGGAGAACTTGGTGGCCGATCACTTGAGCCGTTTAGTCCTTGATGAAGGAAATGATCATGTCAAAGATGATATCCGAGGGGAATTTCCCGATGAGACTCTCTTCTCTCTTAAGGAAATTCGCCCTTGGTACGCTCACATTGTTAACTTCCTTGTTCTAAACAGGTTTCCGCCAAGCTTCTCTAAAGCTCAAAGAGAGAAGCTCCAACACGATGCAAAACAATACGTATGGGATGAACCATACTTGTGGAAACATTGCAAAGATCAAGTCATTAGAAGATGCATCCCCGAGACAGAGATAGCATCCATTCTTGCCTTTTGTCACTCACATGCATGTGGTGGCCACTTTGGAGGAAAGCGAACGGCCATGAAGGTACTTGAATGCGGTTTTTGGTGGCCAAGCTTATTTCGAGATGCCCATGTCTTTTGTCAATCTTGTGACAATTGCCAACGCATGGGCAACATCTCTCGAAAACATGAGATGCCGCAAGTTCCTATGCTCTATGTAGAGATCTTTGATGTTTGGGGAATAGATTTCATGGGACCTTTTCCTAACTCCCACGGAAATCTATACATCCTCTTGGCGGTAGACTACGTCTCAAAATGGGTGGAAGCAAAAGCCACAAAGACCGATGACGCCAAAGTAGTTGCGGACTTTCTCAAAACCCGCATCTTCTCAAGGTTTGGAGTCCCACGCATTTTGATAAGCGATAGGGGCACACACTTCTACAACAAAACTGTGAGCGCCTTGTTAAAAAAATATGGCGTCACTCACAAGCTCTCCACCGCCTATCATCCACAAACAAACGGACAAGCCGAGGTCTCAAACAGGGAGTTGAAGTCTATACTCCAAAAGACGGTGAATCCTAACCGAAAAGATTGGAGTCTTCGCATGGATGATGCCTTATGGGCATATAGAACCGCTTTCAAAACACCAATTGGAATGTCCCCCTATAGACTTGTGTTCGGGAAGGCTTGTCACCTCCCGGTCGAACTCGAACATAAGTCTTATTGGGCGGTAAAAACATTCAATCTTGACATGGAGCAAGCGGGGATGAAAAGAAAACTACAACTCCAAGAGCTAGAGGAACTTCGACTTGAATCATATGAGAATGCCGCTATCTACAAGGAAAAGACGAAGGTATGGCATGATAAAATGATTATAAGAAAAGACTTCCAAATTGGAGATAAAGTCCTTCTATTCCGATCACGCCTTCGGCTTTTCCCCGGTAAACTGAGATCACGATGGGAAGGACCATTTGAAGTGGTAAAAATCTACTCACACGGAGCGGTTGAGATCAAAAGCCTTGACACCGATAAAATCTTCAAGGTTAACGGACATCAACTCAAACCATTCCTTGAGGGCTTCCAAAAAGAGAGCGTTGAATGCATGGATCTCTTCGATCCGACCTATGAAGGATGAATAAAGCTATGGCGTCGTGCCACGACGTTAACTAAGGCGCTTCTTGGGAGGCAACCCAAGCAAAGGTACGCATTTTTTTTGTGTTTGTTTTTGAATGTCAACTTTTGGGAGAATGGGAGGAAATTCTCAAAAAGAAAATAAGGAAAAAATAACATTTTCAAGGCCTGGGCAAACCCCCGATCGGTCATCATCAGTTACCCGGACGGATCCATGCCGAAAAGAGGATTAAAATGGGCCAAACAAAATTTCAGGCTAATATACCCGATCGAGTAACAGTCATACGCGGTCGGGTATAGGGTAAAATAAGAAAAAAAAAGGGGTCGAGTACCCCATACTCGATCGGCCAAAAGCACAAAAACGCACGAATACCCGATCGGGTATACCTCATACTCGATCGGGTAATCGACCCCTGGAGCCAATTTTAAAAATCCGCCAAATACCCGATCGAGTAAATTTATATACTCGATCGAGTATATTTTAAAAAAATCCTACGGCGGCCAAAACTCGATCGAGTATACCCCATACTCGACCGAATACACAAACCTGGAACCAATTTTTTCAAAAAGGGGAGTATACCCGATCGAGTATATTAATATACTCGATCGAGTATATTTCAAGGAAATCCTACGGCGGCCAAAACTCGATCGAGTACGGGGTATACTCGATCGAGCCCGATCCCGAAACAAGAACAAACGGAGGTATACCCGATCGAGTAATCGGGGTACCCGATCGGGTATACGTGTTTTAAGTCCGAATCAGAAGCCAAAACAACCATTCTTCTTCCCCAAAAATCCCAAAATTCGAACCCCTTCTCCCAAATCTTCCATTTTCACACCTTCAAGCTTCGATTACTCTCTCATATCTCACCCAAATCCATCCAAATCACCACCAAAACGATCCCTACACTCTCCTCTACAACCTCATACCCATTACTCCCTCTCTCCCCCTCCATTTCCAAAATCCGAAAACCCTACCCCCTATACCCCAAGTCCGAACTCAAGCTCCCTTTTTGCTCAAAAATAGGCACCAAAGAGGAACCAACCGGAGAGCTCTAACTCAAGGGGACCTATTCGAGGCTACGAGGATGTTCAATTTGGCCCGGGGGATCACCGGAAGCGATTTGTGACCGCTCTCAAAAGGCAAGTTATCCCATCTCGGTTCTTATGCCATGACGCTCTTGCTTCTCTTGGCTTGTTAGATGGTATGAGAGAACTATTTGATGAATTGCATATGAGTTTGATTTTTCACTTGCAATATAATTGTAATGAGAGGGTCATCTATGAATTTTTGAGTTCGGCCAAGTTTGTGTTAGATGATGACCATTTCTATGATGATACACTCTCGTTTCGGTTGATGAACACCGAATACACTATAACGAGACGTGATTTTGCCGAACACTTTGGGCTCCGATTCCCACATGAAAGGGAAATTCCGGATAACACTATGGATGCATATAATCTTTGGGGCAAAATGACCGGAGAACGGAATTTTAGCACGTCCCAACTTTACATAAGTCACGTGCAACATCCCCTTCTCCGGATTTTCCTCAAATTCTTGTGCAACTCTTTGCTCGGCCGCCCCAACAACCATCACACTCGGATAGGGGATGTGGCCATTCTCACTCTTGCCCTTTTCCGCAATCCCGTTGAGTTCAACATTTGCAACTTGATTTGGGACCATCTACAAAAGGCTATCACGAAAGGGGGGAACATTGTTGTAGGGGGTGTTATCATGCATTTGGCTTCCAAGTTTGGCTATGTGGATAATGCCACAATCTCTAGAGACTCATTGATGCATCTTGGATGGTTGTCCAATGCACAATTAATCTCTTTAGGTAACAAAGACCACAACGGAAACCAAAAATATAAATGGCATATGAAGTACCCCGAACCGGTCAAATACTTCCCCCTCCCTTGCGATGAATTACCTAGACTTAGGTATAAGATGGAACCCGCTCACATCCCACATTACCTCCTCCCCAACAACATTCCACCCCATCTCCAAGCCCAAGCCGACCAAGCCGACCAAGCCGAACAACCCAATCCCCAACCGGAGCAACCCGAGCATCAAGAGGGACACGACTATTTCCAACATGACATCCCCAACCCTCCCCACAATCCGCCACCACAAGACTTTTTCCAACAACTCTTGGAGGGTCAACAATCCCTCCTAGCCGGTTTCCAAACAATGAGCCTTGATTACACCAAAATGGGAGAGCAATTCACCCAACTTCAAGGAGAAATAGGCCATTACCGGAATGAGCAACAAGCAAGAGAAAGGCAATTTGATGCTTACCGGGAGGAGCAACGGTTGGCTTTTCAAAGGATGGAGGAACAAAGGGCGGCCGACATGCAAAGGTATGAAGAAGACTACCGGAGGATGTATGGGCCGACATATTCGTACATGTCCCAACTTGGGGGATTTGCATCAATGGCCTCACCTCCACCGGCACCTTCTTGGTACAACCCCTCCGATTGGGGTAATTTTGGCGGCTCGAGTTCCGGCGGTGGTGGCTATGACGGCGGGGATACTACCATGGGCGAGGGGGGCGGGGATGACATGCACGGGAGCGGCTTTGGAGGAGGCTACTACGGAGGAGAAGGCGGGCACTAGGGATAGTGCCATACTTCAAGTGTGGGGGAGAAGATCATCTTTTGGTATGTACACTCCTTTGTCTTTACCTTGTACTAAGCATTAATTTTCTTATATTTTCAAAAAAAAAAAAAAAAAAAAAAAAAAAAAAAAAAAAAAAAAAAAAAAAAGAAATAAAATGCTAGTTAGGTTGAAAACCCAAAAGGGCAATCTAAGCAACAAGGGCTTACAAAAAAAAAAATGAGTGAGTGAAAAGAGAAGGAAAAGAAAAAGAGATGCTAGGATGAAAACCTGAAAAAGGCTCCTAGGCAAAATGAGAGATAAGAGAGAAATTTGTGTTTTGCAGGACACCACCGCTCGGAGAAGAGGAGGAGAAGAGAAAGAGAAGAGGAAGGGAAGAAAAGAGGAAAAGAAGAAATAAAGGGCATAGAGGACTAACAAACCCAAGAGAATTGTTATTTTATGAACTAATTTACAACCTTGGTGGTCTTGTGCTCTTTCTTGCTATTCTTCAAACTCATGATCTTTGATTGAACATTGTGTAAACATTTGGTTTTACTCGAGGTCGAGTAAAGAAACTAAGTGTGGGGGAGTTGACATTCATGTTATTTCCATGTTTATATTTATGCTTTTGATTAGTTTTGAGTGGTTATTACTCTAGAAATTACACACTTTTGGTGTAATAGTTTAGTTTGTAAAATGCTTGTAAATTGTTTAGATTAGATTTGTTCTGAGCTCAAACAGGTCCAAGACCACTCCAGGGACCATTGGTAAACATCACAAGTGGAAGGAAGGTGCAAAAATTCCAAAACAAAATGGAGATCCTGATTTTTGGTGTTGTACCCGGTCGAGTATACCCTATACTCGATCGGGTAAGTTGCTAAAAAGTCAAATCAAATCAACCCGGGAACAAGGCAACATGCAGGAAGATTTTTAACTCGATCGCGTATCCATACCCGATCGGGTAACCGACATACCCGATCGGGTATGAACCCAGATTTTCAGTTTCGAGGAAACTAACCCTTACCCGATCGGTTAAGCTAAAAACTCGATCGGGTACACGACCCTGCAGGCCTAAAAAGCCTATAAATACACCCCTTTTCCTCCACAAGAAGACCACCAATTCACATATACTTCTTAGCTCAGTTTAGACAAGTTCTTTCTTTATATTTTTCATCATGTTTAGTCTCCAAATGAGGAGCTAAACTCTTCCATCTTGGTTTTGCTACTTTGAAGCTTAATGAATTTGTAAGTTGTGAGTTATTATCTTTAATCTTCTTCCTTGAATATTAATTCTTTCTTTAAATACTATTTCTATATCAATGTTGGGGAGTGTTACTAAGATGACAATTAGTTAACATCTTGACATTAGTTATAGTAATAGTTATTTCTTCCTCTACGTTAATATCGGGGAGTGTTACTAAGATGACAATTAGTTAACATCTTGATATTAACTATAGTAGGATTCATCTTCTTTATTATTCTTCCTTGAGTATTAATTAATTCCTATTCATATTTCATATTAATATTTTGAACATTACTTAAAGGATCAACTAGTTTTGTTTCATATATTAATTATTATTAGAATCGGTCGATTAATACGCTTGTTATTAATTCGGTCCTTTCGCGGTAGTAAACTTGGGTTATTAATGCATGCGTTTCATGGTTAATAAACCAAGGGGAATTAATTATATTGATTAAACCAATAAACCGCTTGTGTTGAGGTTATCAATCTCAATCGTTTTCATCTTGATTTTATTGCTACTATCGAGTGAATATACGGCGCGTGTTCTATATTAACTCGGTAGTAAGTTTTATTAATGAACGCGTCTCGTTATTAATAACTACCCTCGACGAATTGGATATACTCCTCGATTGAGTATTCGAGAGGAAAATAGTTAAAGATATAACCGGGATCGACGAACATTTCATTAAGTGGATAAAAGCAAAGCCAAGTCTTCTTCTCATTAATTAAACCACATAACTCGTTCATCTTCGTATTTAAATATAATTTAAAGTTCATCAACCAAATATAAACCCCCCTTATTGTTACTTATCTATTTCTGTAAGAAGAAAAGTATTCCTTTCCCTGTGGATACGAACCTTACTTCACTATACTACGTATTTGTGTTGTATTGTATTATTACTTTGAGTGCACCTCACGACAAAGTGCACGTCATGTACAATCAAAAATTGACTATTGGGATGCACTCTTCTATTATGTTTAAAGCAATTTTTAAAACCCAGGTTGAAGAGGGACTTTCTGCTCCTTATAATTCAAAGGATTATCAAGAATATTCTCTAGTTGCTACTTCTGCTATTGTGCATCTAGATGGGAAGGGTCCAATTACTTGTGACTCACCTGCCAACTTAGGGGTGGACTTTGTGGCAGGAGAGCTCAGAATTACAGGTTATATCTTTGAGAAAACAACAGGAAGTTATGTGGAACAAAATATTGAAGCCAATGAACAGGTGAAATTGAAACAAGGCTTGAAGATGACAATGTTTTCTTCTGGTGAAGAATCTGTTTACCTGCTAGGACGCCAATTTTAAAAGTTTTACATGGGATATAATCTTTCCTGTTCCTTAGTTAGGAGAACTGCAGCTGGAATAATGCATATAATTACTTGCTTGCTAAAACCTTTAAGATTTTCCTTCTCAAATGAGGTAGGTAAATAATTGATAGCGGGAGAAGCTGAAAGGTACAGAAAAAAGTTTGCATCCAGTACAGTACTAATTTCAGAAGATATAAAATATGAGGGGCTGCAAAAAAGTGAAGAAATAATTTGTGCTAGGGACTACTGGATACTGACTGAGCCAAATGAAACTTCATCTCAAATCTCTTCTACTTCTGAAAGTTCTGTGATTTTAAAAGGTATCGAAGTCCCTAGTCCATCAACCCGTTACGTATTGGGAAGGAAGAGGAGCAAGGAAGAGGAAGAAGCAGAAGATCCTGGCTGTCTCCTACCGTCCACCTTTAGGGCAAGGTGGATGTTTAGGGAGGGAGTATTGATAGGGACCTACCTATTAGATGAATAATAGAAAGAATATTAATAATAATAATAGTAATAAGGATATATGCCGTATTTAGTATATATAGATGAAGAGGGGAGTTAGTAGGGAGGCTTTTGGACATTATGTCTTGGGACTGGGAAGATTAGAGATTAGTCGTCTCTATCTTTGGGGGCTTCGGCCTTTGTTACTGTTACTGTTCATCTTATTCAATAAAGATTACCAATCGTTTCTTGATATAATTTCTGCAATTTCTGTATATTCTGGAGGGGCTCTAACAGCCCATAAGCTAATTCAACTTTCAAGAGTTCTGTGATATTTCGAGGGCGGTCTTTCACGAGAGGTTTTACTAGATAAGACTGATTTATTTGTACATGTAGAATCACAATTTCCATATGAATGTATGATAGAAAAATAGTTCTTATAATAGAAATTAAATTATTTGGGATGCTTTGCGCAAGCTCCCCCACAATTTAGTTAGAACATGTCTGCTTAATGAGAATTTGGGCGATGTTTAAATCCACTTGCTAATATAGTTTGAGATGATCCCAAATTTTCACATCATTAATGGAATCATGAGTCATTCAAATTGAATTTACTCGTTAGTGATTGCAAATGAGCCTTGATTAGGAACTTAGGGTACCCTATTGGAGTATGCCCTTTCACCCCTTTGTTAGGGCCTTGGTACGACCTTAGTCACAAGGAGTAGCTAATTAAACAAGACAATAGTTGAAGAAAAATAGTCAATATGAATGCACAATGACTAGTTGATTTGTCGCTAATACATATTGATAAATTCATATTTCATACCAATAATCTATACTTTAAGCGTTTCTATAATATTAATAATCCCTACCGAAGATATTAATAAACGGCTAAAGGGTCAAATAGGCCATTGTACCTGTCGAGTAAACTCAATTCAGTCCCTGACTTAAAAAAAGGTTCAATTCACACTCTGAATTAGAAAAAAGGGAAAAGTACGGAAAAAGTACTTGTGGTTGGACCCGTTTTCAGATAGGGTCATGTGTTTCATTCTTTATCAAAGTGGTTCATGTGTTTGAATTCCGTTAACACAAGAGGGTCACACCGTTAAAAACGTCTGAAAAAGACTGCTAAATGTAACTCCGATTTTCAAAAGTGCCCGGAAAATTAAAAGAAAAATACTAAAAGGTGTGCCTTGTCAAGATGACCTCCAAACCACCTTCGCCTTTGGATTTCCAATGGACTTTCCAGTGACAAAGGTGGCTGAAAACAAAAAAGAAACATGGCCTAGCGGTCGTCTTATGAGGTGCACCTTCTGGTATTTTTCTTTTAGTTTTTCGGACACTTTTGAAAACCGGAGTTGCTTTTAACGGTCTTTTTCAGACGTTTTTAACGGCGTGACCCTCTTGTGACAGCGGAATTCAAACACATGAACCACGTTGATAAAGAATGAAACACATGACCCTATCTGGAAACGAGCTCAATCATAAAAAATGGTTCAAATCCTATTGTAACGAGTCACCATCCAGTCACCCACCATGTCATCGGTCAAATTGCCAACTATGCATCTAACTTCAAAACTGAAAGCTCAAATAAGTCCCTGAACATGTTCAATTTGTTCAATTAACCCCTCAACTTTAAAAAATTTCAACATTGGAATAAATTTAAAATAAATTAATTGATATATATATAGATTTAGGATCACATACAAACTAATCCTAATTTACAAAATGCAAACTAATCCTAACCATTGATTTTAATAATGTGACGGTCAAGTTTCCTATCCAATGCATTAATGGCTGGCTGGTCCCATGTAATACGTATTATTTGAGAAAAATTCTCCACTAATACGGATTGAGTATTAATGCTCAAATAAAAACTAACCCTTGATTTTGTTAAATTGGATGGATGAGATTAATTTGCATTTTGTACCGGAAGCACACTTTGTATCCGATCTTAACCCTATATATATATATATATCCAACTATTGTCAACAATCATCCTATGCAAACTAGAGCCAAATCAGGAATTGTAAAACCTAAACTAAATCCAACTTTGTTACTTGCCCATGTTGAGCCCAAGTCAGTTAAGCAGGCTCTTTCATCACCTCAATGGTTCAGAGCTATGCAATCTGAATACTGCTATTGACTGTAAATGGGTTTTCAAGGTAAAAGAATTCTGATGGCTCCCTAAATAAATACAAAGCAAGATTAGTGGCAAAGGGCTTTCATCAAAGGATTGGTTTTGATTTCAGTGAGACCTTTTCACCTGTTGTGAAACCAATTACCATAAGAATTTTCCTTACCTTAGTTGTATCTCATAATTGGTCTATTCAGTAGCTTGACATTAATAATGCATTTCTTAATGGACACCTTGATGAAGAGGTTTACATGGTTCAACCACCTGGATTTCAATCTGAAGATCCTTCTCTTGTCTTCAAGCTTCACAAATCCCTATATGGCCTGAAACAGGCACCTAGGGCATGGTTTCATAAACTAACATCTCTTCTTTATGCTGCAGGATTCAAACAAAGTATATGTAATCCTTCTCTACTCCTTTTTTCTGTCATCTGCCATACAAATCTACATTCTAATCTATGTAGATGACATCTTAGTCATTGGAAATGACTCCATAGCTATTCAAAATCTTATCAACAAACTTCATACATCTTTTTCACTCAAGCATCTAGGAGAAATTGACTTCTTTCTTAGAAAGTTAAAAGATGGCAGCATTCATCTATCTCAAACAAAGTATATTAGGGATCTATTGCATAAGGTTGGTATGCTTGACTCAAAGGGAGTCAAAACACCCATGGTGAGTAGTTGCAAACTCACCAACACAGGAAGTGATATCTTACCTGATCCATCTACCTACAGATCCATAGTTGGCACTTTACAATATGCTACCCTAATCAGGCCAGAACTTAGCTATGCTGTGAACAAAGTGTGTCAATTTATGGCCACTCCTCTACAGGATCACTGGAAAGCTGTCAAGCATATCCTCAGATACCTGTCTGGTACTATCACACATGGTCTCATTATTAAACCTCTTCCTTTGAAAATAATGTTAATGCCTATTTCAGCATTTTGTGATGCTGACTGGGCTTCAGATCCCGTTGACAGAAAATCCACATCTGGTTCTTGCATATTTCACTACTCCAAATATCATCTCCTGGTGGTCAAAGAAACAAGTGAAAGTTGCTAGATCCTCAGCAGAAGCTGAGTACAGAAGCTTAGCAGATACTTCATCTGAACTTCTATAGATTCAATACTTGCTCAAGGAACTCCAAATACCATTCACTACTCCAAGAGCGTATTGTGACAATCTCAGCACTGTACAACTTGCACACAATTCTGTACTACACACGCGGATCAAACATATGGAGATTGATCTCTTCTTTGTCAGGGAGAAAGTTCAGTCCAAGCAACTTGAAGTTTTTCACATCCTAACTCCTCAACAACTTGCTGATGTCCTGATCTTCCAAATCAATCACCCTAGTTTTGAGGGGGGGATGTTAGGAGTAGTACACGAACTGTAATATTCTTCCTTGTATTCAGTTTGTTCAGTTAGAGCTGATATAGTTAGTTAGAGTTCTGTTCATGCTCCTGTACTATAAATACTTGTACTCGGTTTCAGAATAATGTTATTGGTTTTCATTTCTTCCAAATCCCTCTCATATTTCTAATAATATATATATAAAATTATAAGATAGAGTATAAATATATATGGTAAAATTATTTATATTTTTCGGTTAACTCAAAAAATGAAAATAAAAATATAATAAAATGAAAAGATACTATATGTATATTTTCTAGTATGAATTGATATTGTAGAATCTGTTAAAGTATCGATTATTAGTATGAATTTCTCCTTTTATTATTAAATTGTTTTTGCATTGATCTAGTGTTATTTATAGCACTCCAATCATAAAGTACCGCATGTATATTGTGCAACATTCAAATACGGTGCTATTTAGATGTGCTAATATATACTGTCAATAATAAACTACTCCGTATGTAATTAGCTTTATGTTGTAATTCAGTTTCTCCAACTCTCAAGTAGTCAATCTCATTATAACATAACTTCATTTAAGCTTATTTTTTGAAAAGAAAATAACTTAATTATTATTGATAAGGGTTACAAGAAACATAACAATAAAAAATCGAAGCATTACAATCATGACGTTCAATGCTACACTAAGGTGAGACGAAAAACAAAAAGACTCCATACATGCACTCTTGTTCACTAACCGTGGCAATTATGTAGATTCATACCGCAGTGTGACTGCTCATGTCACTCAAGATGAGTCCGCTTTGACCAACCACCGAAAAAGAATTATTAAACTTTCTTGTTTTTTCCGCCACCGATAAGGAACATAGCGCAGAAATTGTTCCGGCTTCACCAGCCATGGGAAAGAAAGCAACCCATGCAATCCGTTCTTCCTAGATCAATGGTGGTTTAGGAGGGAGACGATGAGTCTCTATATTGATGTAGAAGAAATCCAGATTCATGATTGATGAAGAAGGTGGTACACACCTCTTGCTAGCACATAAGCACACCCGACTGTTGATGGCGGGAAATATACATCTTGCGAGCGATACTTCATCACCGAAAATAATAATATCTCTAGACAACGCTAGAAATAAACGTATACAAGTATGTAGAACTGAAAAACACTGATTAAGTGAAACCTTTTTCATGATTGTAGCACAAAAATAATTGAAAAAAGAGAAGAAAAAAAAGAAAAGAAGTGAAGGAGGAGGCTAGAGTTTCTCCATTGTCACTCCTCTCTCTTTGATATCATCATTTAAGCTAAAATTGATAGCCTGCAGTTTCGCCTTTTATCTTTAAAATCTTTAAACAAACAATTATATAAGTATGAATGAGGGTAAGGTTATTTTAGGTATAAACCTTTGTTGGTGTAAATTAGTTCACCTTGGATTTTCAACCCTTTTTCAATTCCGAGAAAATGAATTGCCAAGGATAATATTTAATCATAACCAATTTCAATTAATTTCCGACAAAAATATACGGAGT